CTTTATTGATGGACCTGGTGGTACTGGAAAAACTTTTCTACTTAATACCATCATTACAGCATTACAATTAAAAAAAATAAAAGTAATCAGTATGGCATGGACTGGGATTGCAAGCATTTTGCTAAAATATGGTCAAACGGCACATATGACTTTTAAACTTCCTGTTCCTTTAAATGAAACTTCTGTCTCTGCTTTAACAATTAATAGTGATGCTGGAAAAACCATTAAACAAGCAAATGTTCTCATATGGGATGAAATTAGTATGGTTCATACACATGCTTTCTCTGTGGTTGATAAATGTTTAAAACATCTCAAATGTAATTCTAAACCATTTGGAGGCGTTATAGTGATTACAAGTGGTGACTTTCGTCAAACCCTTCCTGTTGTTCCCCATGGCCATAGAACTTCTATTATTTCAAGCTCAGTTAAAATGAATAGACTATGGTCACTCTTTACAACACTAACATTAACAAAGAATATGCGTTCAAGTAATCTTTGTTTTTCTGAATGGCTTCTCAAACTTGGCAACGGTGATAGTAGTTTACAGTTGCCATGTCTCCCACCAGATATTATCAAAATACCACATGCATTATCTATCACTACATCTGTTGTAAACTTTGTTTTCCCAAATACCGATGATATTACAAATACTTATACAGCTGCATCAAAGGTTATTCTCACCCCACTCAATGACGACACATTCAGAATAAATAATGACATTGTTGAAAGACTACCAGGTGATCCATATGTTTATTTGAGCATTGACACAGTTGACTCAGATCACCTGGAAGAGTTCCCAATTGAATTCTTAAATTCAATCACCCCATCGGGACTACCACCACACAAATTAATTCTAAAACAAAATGTGATTTTGATTCTTCTTAGGAACATATCTCCACAAATTGGTTTATGCAATGGCACTCGCCTCATTCTCAAGCAAGCATCTCAAAACGTTTTAGATTGTGAAATTATCACGGGACAATTCAAGGGATCGCGAGTTTTTATTCCACGTATTACCCTTACACCTTCTGATGTTGAAATCCCTTTCAAGATGTCTCGAAGACAATTCCCAGTTCGTCTGGGTTATTGCTTAACTATTTCTAAAGCCCAAGGCCAAACTTTCGACCGTGTTGGCATTTACCTCCCCCAACCTGTTTTCACACATGGTCAACTTTATGTTGCTCTGTCAAGGTGTAGATCACCTGAATAACTTCGTGTTCAAGTGCTTGCAACCCCCCTTCAAGGCAATCTTATACCACATGATCAACACTTTTACATTGTGAATACAGTCTATGCTGAAATTCTTAAGTAGACTGACAAAAACATGGCACAATTCTATATCCAACCATGAAGTTGTGAGTTTCAAATGCACACCACAACAAAGCTGGCATTGACAAGTGTGCCTTGGGTGCTGTCCCATTTTGGTTATGGCATGTGCTATTTAGTTGCTAATGGCAGAGGTACAGTTTTCATCCTATTGCTTTTTGAGTGCAGCTCTCATTGCAATATAATGGTTTCTCGCTCATCCCAGGAACCTCTCTAGCAGGCTGAGGAGCAAGTACCAACACTTGCACCAAAGATGGACTTGGAAGTATTCTTTGGGCTTTTTGTGTTCAAAATGGAGCAATGCAACTCAACAGTTATCTAATCTAGCTTATATAATGCTTATAACACATTTGGTTATGAGAATGTCTTTCAATTGTGGAGTTGATCAAACAGCAAACTTAGCTAAGCTTAGAAAACCTCTTCAAATGGCATCAAATTTGCCAACCACCCAGCATTTGCTGGGCAATTGCTAGTTCAAGAAATAAAACACCACTTTTCTGTTGCTGATGTGGCACAAATCACACCACTCCCAGATTCTAAGCCTAGACACTAAAACATGTTGTGGGTGGAAGCCCAAAACACTTCTCTCCTTGGGGTTGGTGGGGTGGAGGTGTAACACTGTTGGGGGTTCCAAAAGTATAGTGGTGTTGGAAGAGTTGGAAGAGTTAGGTAGTTGAGGTGGAGTTCAAGTATGAGTATGCGTATGAGTCTGGCACTGAGTTTTGGGCAAGCTCCCTCTGCACGTGGCATGCTGCAAGTGGGGTGGGCTTGCATGCTCCAATTGGCTCTGACTTTGGCTCTGGTTTTGCTACCCTCAATACCACACTCCCTGCTCACTATCGGGACAAGGAGACTTAGTCAGACTAGAGGTCTGGATCTTTGCATGTGGTAGTGGTGAGCTGGTTGGTAGTTAATCCTCGTGATGTGGTAGTATGTGCCTTTGGTAGAGGATTGCACACCCATTGCTATGTGAAAAACATATGCCTATGATTGGTCCTAGCCAATGCTCTGGCATAACCAAGAGAACTCAGGTGACCAACATGTAAGGTGTTCCACAATTTGGCCTAGCCTCTCACTTTTGTGTGTTCTCTTGGGGCAGTAGGGGGTGTATTGCTCACCCCCTCCCAAGTGCACACCCCTTGCTGTATTGAGACCATTTGAGTCTGGATCCAGGTCCAGATCTAGGTGGGCAATCCCCATATTTGTTTTGGGGCAGTAGGAGTGTGTTACTCACCCCCTCCCAAGCTTTGACATGGGTGAGCTCAGCTGCATGGGGGCTTAAACTGGTGCTTCACAGTTGAGGAATTAACACTCTAGACACCTACCCTTTATTAAAAGTGTATATGATGGAGGGAGCAAGAAATTGAATAATCTATGCTATTCAACAACCTTTGGGAATCTTAGGCAGAGGATATTTTTCTACCTAGCAAAAGGTTTGGTTACTCTATAATATGAAAAAGTTTTCTCCTGCTTGAAACTCCGATTGTAATGACAACTTTAAAGTTTACAGTTGTTTGCAAAAAATTTCAAGCAATGAATCAAAATTTTCAGCTGTTAAGTGATGACGTTGCTAGTTAAATAGCAACAAAATTTGAAGAGATCAATAAAACAATTGCAAAAAATTTTAAAGGCCCAGAGCAAGAAAATAGTTTTTTACACCAACTTTGACTATAGGGAGTTTGAAGCTTTTGACATTGTCTATAAGGTGTACTCATACCTCATCTTTTTCTTTTAAAGAATTCCCTAAGGCTAAAGGATCCCCCAGAATCATGATTGGAATAATAAAGAATTTATAAGATTGAGTTCAAGATTAAGTTTAAAACCAAGTCCAAAACTGAGTTTAAGACCAAGTCTTAGATTGAGTCCAAGATCTAATATTGGGTTTGAGACTAAATTCAAGACCAAGTCTGAAATCAAGTTCAAAATGAAGTTTGAAATTCATTTTAAGTTTTTTGTTTGCTTTAAGTAAACTTGTAAGGGAATTGAGATGGTAATGGATATACCTAAAATATACTTGGATATTCTAGGATATTCTTCCATCTAATGGCTATTATTCATTGAGATTAGTCTTGTATTTACAATTTATAAATATGTTTATAATTTATAAACTTTCTTAACCCTTTCTAATATATGTTTGATATGCAATAAGATTAATCTTGTGTTTATAAATTACAAACATGCTTATAATTATAAATTTTATTTGATCAATTGGATTAATAAATAGAAATAATACTACTATTAAGCCAACCAAGCATTGCTACATGCAATGCGTAGCAAATTATTTAATTTTGTAAAAATAAATATGCAACTTTTTAATTATTCTAAAGAGTTAATTATTATTTTTGTTGCATAAACTTATTGAAATGAAAAAATCAAGGGCCAAAGTCTAGGGATCAAAGATACTAGCCTGGACTAGCCCTCATTGTCTCCATAGGTTGGATGATTCAAATGGCTGTGGTGATGATGCTCATTGGACCTAGAAAGAAAGCCAAAAACAAAATGGGACAACACAAATTTGAAATCGAAAAGAATAAATTTTTTGAGGAATAAAATTTCCTTGTGCCCCACCATCACTTCTGGTCACACCAGAGGGCAAGGTGCATGCACTCAACTCGTGCAGTGCTGTGCATGCGAGATGGGCATGTCCAAGATGAGGATTTTGAAGGTGACGAGTGGAAGTTGTAGATATGAGGTAATGCGAGAAGTTGGATGCTAGAGAGCTGAATTGTGTGCAGAAGTTAGTGTTTTTTAAGACTCAAACAAACTCTAATTTCAAGAATTCAAATTGACAATGATAAAGTGAACAGCATTCAAATAACTTCATTAGAGTAACTAGCTTGCCTCCTGGAGTTTGTCATGAGTGCCAAGAGCTCAACGTGGAGCTGCTTGTTACAGATGGTAGTAAGCAATTCTATTTTTCCTTCTTTTCCCTTTTGGGTGACCAGTGCAATTTATTTAGTATGAGCAATTGGGTGGCACAGTCTTGTAAGCATATTCTACAAAGGAATATTGTTGCTCACTACCCAGCATTCGCTAGGCAAATTGCTTATGCATTATTATTACATGTTTTAGATCATGAGTACCCAACTAGGAGCACAAGCTCAGAACTCGAAAGAGGGAAGACCATGTGGCGAAGGAAGAAAAATCAAGAAGCCTGATGCATTTGTTTTTCTTTCATGTAGCCAAATAAGAAACAAAGTTATAGAGAAATTTTTGGTTCTATCTCCGACTCTGTTCTCTTCTTTGGAGGTCGAGGAAGATGTCCTCCATGTTCAGTGACATGTCCGGTGCTAATAAGCAACTTCAATGTCTAGTTTACTGTATTATAGTTACAATGAGAGTGTAATAATGTCTCAGAGCATGAGAAATTCTCATTAAAAAAAAACTTTAGCATTGCAAGTACCTAAATCTATGCACACAAAAATATTATGAACCCAATCACCCAATCACTTTTGGATTGCTATATAAGCAATCTAAACGTATGAATTACAATATTTACATGGAACATGCCATGTGCATGCAGGAAACTTCATGCCATTCATGCAGCTATGTCATTCCTCAGTTTTTTTGAAGTAATTTGATTCAACCCACAATTGTGGAGCTTTGTATGTACAAGAAAGTGCACAAACCCAAGGAGAAGAGTCGTTGATAAGAAGAAACTCGTAAACCAAGAATGAAATAATAAGGAAGAAGTATCTCTATTAAATCGCGGATGTCACTTGAGGACAAAACACGTTTGCAGCGTCACAGCCGAGCACGTCTTTGAACTCCCTGTGGATCCAGAAACTGTCGTAAACTTGGCCGTCCGAACTCTTCTTGTACTCGAACAGCAGCGATGATCGATTGAACGCCGTGATCTTTGTGTAACCATAGTCATAGTCACGCTTCACGCTCCATGCCGGCGTTGGCGACGGGAACGGCGTGAGTGAAGCCCCAGCACCTCCCGCGACTACGTGAATCGTTGCATTGAATTTCCCAGAGTAAACATTGGTCTCATTGGTAACGCAAACCTCCTGCAAAGAACAGATAGTTCTTCCAAACAAGTAGAGAAAGAGCTCATACTCACGTCATAAACTGGACAGGATCGCTCGTAGTTGTGGACGTGGCCGTAGAAGGCGATGTCCACCTTGTACTTTTGCCACAAACCTTGCAGGCTTTCCCTGCTAAATGGCTCTGCAGTAGTGTTCTCGCTGGCTACGTACCACGAAGAGTAGCCAAGGACACGGTGAGCGATGAATATCAACCATGGCTGCTTTTGCCTGTCCGCGCTAGCAAGGCATTCTTCGATCCACTTGTACTGCTCGCTTCCTTTGCGCCAGTCGTGCTCCGAGTCGGCAATGCAGAAGTGTAAAAGCCCATAATCCGTCGAATACCTGCAAAAAAAAAAAACTTCCTATGACATACTAGAACTTTTCCTATGATTACAAAATCCTATTCGTTCCCTATAGACAACATACCAGAACTTTTCCCTGTTCTTGACAGGCATGTTGAACACAGTTGATGAAAGCACCCCACACTCGCCTCCGGAGTCCGTTGTGTTATAAAAGGAACCAGAGTTAGGCCAATCCCGTTCATGATTTCCACTGCAAAGGCATAATTGTAACCTTATAGTTTTTTTCCTGTGTGTATAGTATACCTGGCCGTCATATAAGGGACACGTGAAGTCATTCCTTCAATCTGTTCCGTGAACTGATCCCATTGAGAAATATACCCCGTTGCATAGGATAAGTCTCCAATGTGGAAAATAATGTCAATGTTGTCTATTTCTTTTGTGATCGTGTCGGTTGTGTTCAGTGAGCCAAACTGGAAATCATCGTACATCATTGATCCATCTCTTTCGTGCTGTTTGATCGATGTAGCTGTTAGATAAAAAAAGAGAAAAAAACATATAGCCGCCTTTGGGGTACCTTTCCCAAATCTCCAAAGATGACAACCCGTTGCAACGACTCTTCACCAGGAAATGGAGGAGACTTAAAATATTTAATCGGACTCATCACGACCGAGTTATCTGATAACTTATGACCAACGCGATAGCTATATCTGAATAGGTATTGCAGAGATCAAATAAATAAAAATTGCATTGGAGATGGTGATTTACCTTGTGTTGGGCAATAAATCCTTCATTGATCCAGTATGAATTTGGCCGGGATCACGCCAGCCAACAGTGGACGCTGGAGGTCCTGAAGAAAAGTTTTCCAATATTACACACAAAACTTTAAAAAACTACAGACCACACATGTCTCCACGAGACAATGAAAGTGTGCTAGCCGGAGAGAATGACGGAATCTTGTGAAGTGCAATGTGATCCGCAACCTCATACGAAACGAACGGAATCGCTTCGCTGGTTCGATAACCACTAGTCCACGTTACAGTCATCTGAACTATAAGCATAAGCATATGCTAAATAATTGTTGACAGTAACCATACCTCATTCCAAAATTGTCCTTGAGCTAGTCTTGGGTATAAAGGCATCTTTAAGTGCGCAAAGGTGACTGGGCTGGACACAGCAATGAGCACCGGCTGCCATCCAAAAAACAACGTGAGAATGTGAAAGAAGTTACGGTGAAAGTGTCTTACAGTATGAACGCCAGTGAACAGAGCGAACACAAAGTCAGAGCGTTGGTTGATAAGACGGAACGCGATTTGTCCATTGCCAGTGCTGACGTAGTCGGGTGAAGCGGAAGCATTTTGGAACTGCACGCACAAACAAGCAAAGCTAGAAGAGACTCCAAAAACAAAGAGGCATTACAATGGAAGAAAAGACCTTCCACGAGAACAAGAAAAATATAGAAAACAATCGAGTAGAATACAATGAGAACGAAATGAGTACCTTGATGGGAGCAGTGCACAAATTCGGAGGATATTCCCTATTTGGACCATTATAATCGTCCAAGCAAGCCGACGCGCTGCACACATCACACACGAGAAAGATAATTCTGCTCGAGAGCTCCTGTGTTCCCACATACTTGAACTTTGATGGCGAGAAAACACCAATCCAGTCGTCATTGCTAGCTCCAGAAGACCTTTGGTATTTCACAGTGACATATCCCACATACCCCCACTGAAGAATCGAAGGCCAATTACAACATATAAACTGGAAGAAAACATTGTACCTTAAGTCCGAGTAGCTGAGGATAAACTTGGACGGAGGCAGACTCATTGAGACCAATCAAAGCGCGATCAGTTCTCAAACGAGAGAGGACGTGCCTGTGCTGGAAGCTCGATCCACAAAGTTGCAGCAAAATGAGGAGGAAACAAGAAGCAACCAACGGACGGCTCATTGTTCCTACTGCCCTCGTATGGATATTCGCACAACCCCTGGCATGATTCCTCACATATATGTCCAACCAGACCAAAAAAAGAGCAACGATAAAAAGGAAAAGATCTTACATCGATCAAAATATACTGGCAAACGCGAGGTAGAAACGGAAGAGCAAGCCAACAAGCTTGGATGCTTTCAACATCAATTTCCAGCACGATCGCATTCATGCCTGAACAGATACTGAAGCCAAACGACAGTTCCAAAATCTGGCACAAGCAAGAACGGACGGTGGTAAATGATCAATGATCATTGCGGCGCGGAAGCAGGCAAGACCCGCCCCAATATGGTTCTAGTGCAAAGATGAAACTAAATTTAACGATACACATTAGCCGCAAGCTCTCCCGAACGACATGAAGCCAGCCTTCAAATCCGCCATGGCTGCAACGTGATCAGCCGGGCGGCGGGAATGAGAGAACCCCAACTCTCAAAAGATTGCAGCCGTGTGGTGATCCATGTTCCCCCCCCCTTATCGGCGAGGTCATCAGGAAGATTCTAAGAAACAAACTGAGCTGTTCTTTTTTCCTCTTCGACTTTGGGAGCAATATTGATGGATTGCATGGTAATGGAATCGTCAGAAAGAATGAGACTAGAGCAGGGGGAAATCAAACAAACGCTTGGCCTGCGAATCCAACGAGTACATAGAGAAAATCCTTGACAACGTTTCTTACTTGCACCAACTTCACATTCAGTTCAGCTTGAGCTTCTTCATCCTCATAGATCAAAATTGCTCCCAAAGTCGAAGAGGAAAAAAAAACACAAAGAAGTCAGCCAAGATAAGAGATTTGCAACGCAGGAGGAGCTAGACAAAGGAAGCTCTCGCGTTGAGAATTTGGCGGCTATGTCGGGTTTAAGGTGGGATGTTTCTTTTCGCTCAAATATTCAGAAACGGATTTTGCAGGTGCTTTCTTTCCAGAATGCAATGCCTAGTCCCAAGGACAAAGAACGAAACATAGCTTGAAACCTGAATAAATGTTTTTTCTTGATCGATGTCATGGCAAGAAGCATCCTTTACTACCTCCTTTCCTTTTCGTTTCTTCTTTCTACCTTCTTCATTGTGCAATGGCTCGTCAATACGTAATTTCTTGAGTCAATTGAGTACCTCCTCTTCCAGCTCCAGCCCGTAGCTCGCAGAGGACGCGCCGGAGCACCAGCAAGCGGTGGCTTAGGGACCCCTTGACGGAAAGGAACCGGCAAGGCAAGTTCATCTTATTCATGAGGTGTAGCACCCACCTTCACGACACATGCAAGGATGTCATGGCCAACAGAAACCCAAAAGACGTTACAGTAACGAGAAGTCAAAAGCACACACCTGTGGGTAAAATCTTGGAACAGCGACCAGTGTTGCTTGAAGATGTTGTCATTTGGTGGAGGATAAGTCGACTCCAAGAAGATGGTTCACGCACGAATGAGCCGCGGAAGAAAAGTGAAGCTTTCGGCGCTATCGTTGCTAGCGCTATTACTTATATGCTGGAACTCGCAGGAGGATCTTCAATCCTGTTGCCTGTGTGCCAGGAAGGCAAATTCATGGGAGCGGAACTCGCAAGATGCCTTTGTGCCTTCCGAGGACTCCCGTCTTTGGAGGAATGATCACTCCCTCAAGTTAAGACAGCCGTGCGGGTTCCTTCTTACTTTGAAGAGAAGTTTTGGCACGGCAAACTTCTAAATTTGAACAGGTTTTGGTAGTAACGCTTTGATTTCAGAAAGAACAACAAGAACACCATGCCGCATGTTTGGTTATAAGAAGAAAGAACAATGCTCTCTGGAGCTCGGAATCCATTGCGCGCGATCACGGGAGCTCTCTTCCTGACTGGATCTTGTCATAACCAAGAGCAGTCAATCCGGGGAAGCGTCGCTGGTTTTCTGATTGTGTCTTTTGGGCATGAGAAGTTTCGAGTAAATCAAACCAAAACCAAGGAAAGCAAAAACTTGGGAATTTTTTTATCGAATTTTTTTAGACGATTGTTTGATCGCCCACCTTCCCTGGCAATTTCTCCGTCCTTCCAGAGCTAGATTTTCAAGCGAGCTGCTCTACCATGCTATGATTGATCATGCCACAAGAAGAAAGTGTACATGTTTTTTAGTGTATGAGAGTGTTAGTTGGGGTGGTGGTGGTGATCAAATTCTTACATCAAAGAAAGAGAACATTGGGTGAATGTGTATGAATTGAATGCCTCTTTCTGCTCTATTTCTAGAGCTTGGACCACAGAGCAAACACCAAAATGTGCTCTACTCGTCAGGACTTCGCTCGCACAGCTAGCATCCATTGGAGCCCTATGATTCAAATTGCGTCCTGCCCAAGATGGTGACTAGGCATGTCCCAGTTGCTGCAAAGTGTGATTTCTTGTTCTCTGCCATGGTCGCGAGTAGGCGGCCAAGCAAGCCACAGTCTCAATGGCACCAGAGATCAACAGGTACACCATTTCCATGATCATGGGAAGTCACCGTCTGCGTGGGTTCGAGGGCGCGGGATCTCAGTCTCCAAGTAGCGAGAGCATGAGTTATCTGGCCTCTCTGCTGCTGGACAACAGCGTCATGACCAGGGATTGTCTTTTAGAATCCTTCGTGCTTCACACACACACCTCAAGAGGTGGACGACATCACCTCCCCAGCTATGGACATCATCGAGAAGAATTACATCTCCTTTCCACAGCACGACCAGTGGTCCAGCAGTGGAGGCAAGAAGAGGTTTGCAGACCACACGTCTAAAGAAATATCCCACTCGCTGCATTTTTTAGCAAACCTTAGTATGATAAGCGAGGCTCGATGACTCTTGCCATTTCTTTGGCATACAAGTACTTCTGAAAATTCGACAGTAAAACCGGGTTCCAATATGAAACTTTGGAGACCTGCGGTCTCAAAGCGCAAGCGCGATGTGGACGACATGACAGCAGCCGTCGAAGCATGGACTGCTATGCGGAAACTCAAGCACGAAGATCTGCTCAATCCCGATAAGGTAGCTTCTATTCCATACCCAGGCATTCGAGATCCAGGCGGCAGACCAGGGCGAAGACTAGGTGTTATAGGGATTGAGGTTTTGGGGAGTTCTTGGATGTCTGGGACGATGACATCCAGACGACGGTGGTGTAGTCATGGTAGGGGCTAAAGGCATAGGCAAGAGTGTTCGTCTGATGGTTTTCGCCTGTATTCAGTTTGTCAAGGCCACGTCCCGCATTCTCTGCATCTGGAACATGATGCAGGCGAAGCATGATCTTTTCGGGTGCCTCAAGGATGCGCTCCTCTTTGCCTATTTGGAGGAGCCAGAGATGGCGATGGAGATTGAAATGATTGACTCTTTGCAAGACCTCCAGAAGTTTATTCATCGCAGGAAGAGCATCTGCCACGAGACTTTCTGGTTCATCCTCGATGGCGCACAGGCATTAGATGTCCACACTTGGAACCAATCGTTACAAATCCGCTCCGCCGCTGCTCACCAACTGGATATCTTTCTACAAGGCTGTAAGGTCTTGTGGGGAGTTTCTCCAGAGGCTGAGCTAGACGAAGAGAAACTGCATGACTCTGTCAGGAGTGCCTGCTGTGAAGAGGGCTGAGTGAGAGAGCTCTGAGTGAGGACATACATGAGAAGCTCAGTTCTAGGCGCAGTTATTAATTTAAGGAGAGGATCTATATCCGTCATCTCACTCACTGCTGAGAAACTCTGAATATCCCGCTCGATGGAACTGATGATGCGATGCTCCTCAAAGCATACCAGTACCGTTTGCCAATCCTCCTCATCTTCAAGCAGCTCCACGGCGTCTTCGACTTTCAAGTATCTCTGGCTGGGGCTTGGCCTTTCCTTGGGTCTGGAGAGCCTTCCATTCTTTATCGCAGGCCAGAAGTTTGCAGCAGTCATTCAGAATCGTCAGAAACCATGGGTGGCTTCAATGGGTGGCTTCATGGGTGGTTTCCGGCATAGCGACTTGAATCACGCTGCCGGGCAAGTTCTGTACATACACCTTACATTGAGGAGCTCTACATCGACGTTTTCCGTGAGAAGGAAGCAACTTTTGCCAAGGCTCGGGGGGGGGGGGGGGGTGGACTATTGTGAAGTGGTGATGAAGGAGCCTGTTACCAACTGGGCGGAAATAGGCATATGCGAGCGACTTTTCACGGACGTGGTATCCAGGTTGGGAATAAGGATTGCTCCCTACTTGTACATATCCACAGTGAAAGCTGAACGCTTCAGAACTGCTCCAAACCTGTTGAAGAAGCTGCCTGCTCATGGCTACGGCATTGTGTTTTTCCCCAGTAAGTTCAACTTTGGAGACATTGACGGGGCTGTAGTATACAGGGACATGGCTGGCCAGCTTCATTTGGTTTGGTGGCACTGCAGGTCACCACCAGCTTAGACAAGCACTTGCATTCTGCAGACAGGTTTCTGAGCATCCAAGTGATCGACCAGTGGATTCCCTCGGGCTTGAAGGAATGGAAGCTGCACTTCGCCTTTATATGCCTGACGAGCAAAGATGAAGCTCCCAAGGGTGGCAGTATTAATCAGCACCGCAGTGGAGCATGCTTCGGGGTGCCGTATACGCTGCACATCAGGTCCTTTGAAGATGCCCTAGCTGCGTTGCCGACCAAGGAACTCAATCTCTTGCGCGATATTGCACTCAATAGGGAGGAACACTACACCACACTTGCTGGCTGTCCACCAGTTCCACCAGCGCTTGATGTGTCTGCAGCGGCTGCAACAGTGCGACTGTCGCCTACGGACCTCAAGAATCTCAGAAAGCCGCAGCTCAATGCCATTGGCATTTCAGCTGGAATGGATCCTGACGAGCATAGGAACATGAAGTTGCTAGCTGCAGCCATGCAAGCTAAGGGCGTGATCGTTGTTGATCGTCTTTGATAGCTCTTTCAATCAGCCTAAAAACAAACAAACGATCTGGACTATTGTGAAGTGGTGATGAAGGAGCCTGTTACCAACTGGGCGGAAATAGGCATATGCGAGCGACTTTTCACGGACGTGGTATCCAGGTTGGGAATAAGGATTGCTCCCTACTTGTACATATCCACAGTGAAAGCTGAACGCTTCAGAACTGCTCCAAACCTGTTGAAGAAGCTGCCTGCTCATGGCTACGGCATTGTGTTTTTCCCCAGTAAGTTCAACTTTGGAGACATTGACGGGGCTGTAGTATACAGGGACATGGCTGGCCAGCTTCATTTGGTTTGGTGGCACTGCAGGTCACCACCAGCTTAGACAAGCACTTGCATTCTGCAGACAGGTTTCTGAGCATCCAAGTGATCGACCAGTGGATTCCCTCGGGCTTGAAGGAATGGAAGCTGCACTTCGCCTTTATATGCCTGACGAGCAAAGATGAAGCTCCCAAGGGTGGCAGTATTAATCAGCACCGCAGTGGAGCATGCTTCGGGGTGCCGTATACGCTGCACATCAGGTCCTTTGAAGATGCCCTAGCTGCGTTGCCGACCAAGGAACTCAATCTCTTGCGCGATATTGCACTCAATAGGGAGGAACACTACACCACACTTGCTGGCTGTCCACCAGTTCCACCAGCGCTTGATGTGTCTGCAGCGGCTGCAACAGTGCGACTGTCGCCTACGGACCTCAAGAATCTCAGAAAGCCGCAGCTCAATGCCATTGGCATTTCAGCTGGAATGGATCCTGACGAGCATAGGAACATGAAGTTGCTAGCTGCAGCCATGCAAGCTAAGGGCGTGATCGTTGTTGATCGTCTTTGATAGCTCTTTCAATCAGCCTAAAAACAAACAAACGATCATCAATGAGTAATTAGAGAAGTCACCAGCTGAGCTGCATAGATTGAATCCCAATACCGAGGCCTATGTCTCTTTCCAGTAGTCTCAGTCCCCAGGAATGGAGCAGCATAACTTGCCATCCACTGCATTGTGCGGATGTGGAAGTTCTAAGAACGCTGTGCTGCCACTAGAGAGGAGTGGATGATGTTGATGCCATACTTGGGACGTCGATTTGGATGTGGCCGTGAATGGGGATCAAAGCATTTTAGATCTGTGGATGAAAATCGCCACCAAAAGCATTCCACATTCTCATTTGCCGGCCAACGCAGCTCGATGAGCGGCAGATCCAATGGATGACAAGGTCCTAGGAGCGAAGATCCACGAGTAGAGCAGCGCTTGATCGGTAGTCAAGCTGGACAACTTTTTGGCATTATGGGAGGGACCTTCAATCCTTGATCAAAACAGCACCCAGATTGACTGCTCTTGATCACTTCCATAGGAAAGAAAAATCTAAGAGGAAACTGGTCTTTTTTCCTTTTTCCTTTTAATTTTGTAATGCAACTTTGCGCTAGACCCATATTGACTGCTCCTGGTCAAACCAGCGCACTGACGGCTGTGGCAAATCGCCCATGACCTGGAAAATTTCGCTTGCTCCTGCTGCTCGTATCCACAATGTTTGTTCTTGTACGAGACGAGAACACCAAGGTATGAGCCAGGGCTTGTCAATTGGTTTGGATGGAAAGTTATGATGATGCGGTGGTCAATGAGCAAGAGCAAAACTGTCAAGAGCTTGTGCAATGGCTTTCTTTCTGTTTCACCGCTGATTTCTTGATGAAAGCTCCGGGCGCAGAGGGAAATATGGTACTATATCCACGATCAAATCATTCCCGAGGATCGCTCCAGTCTTTCTCCGAGCTAGAGCCTGCTCTCATGCTAGATAAAAAACGCAGGCCATTCTCACAAATCATACTACCTACATATAGGTGGAGTTTCAAGACGGTATGACATGGAAATTGATGGAAGTTTAGATCTGAGACAAGCAGCACCATAAGCTCTTCCCACGCTTGAAAATAAGCGAAGAGAAATGTTTAGATGTTGGATTTTTGTGCCATTTTTTAAAATTCTGCTAATTACTTGCTTGGAGAAGCTTGCACTAGCTCGGCAATCTGCTCGTCCAGGCCATTGCACATCGTCTGCGAGAGCGCTGAAGGGATCGATCTAGTTGTTTAGTAAGGCGTGCCAAAGAAACGCCATAGCTTGGAACGTTTAGATTACGGCACTTGCCCAGGAGACGAATCCGGAGCAATGACACGCGCTCATTTCAGAGATGCCACAGAACATGATTTCTTTCAAGAATTACAAAGACACTCAATCAATTTTCACTTGAAGAAACTCCAAAGAAGGATCCGGATTTTCTCGTTCTTTCAGGCCAAGCTCTATTTCTGGATCAAAGAAATTTGCCCTGCCAGAACTTGAAATCCTGTACAATTGAATGTTGTTGAAACCCAGCGGTATTGGAATGACGAAATCTGGTAAGTTTCTAGCTTCTAATCCTTTCTAGCCGGCCTTCCCGTTCACCGTACTTCCACGCAATACACGTGTGCCCATGACTTATGTCATTCCTCCAAAGTCTAGGTTTTGCATGTGATCCGATTCCATGAATTTGAATTGGAGAATGCTGGTGTATCCAGACGTGTCTAGTGCAGACATGGAAGACAAGATTTCTGACTGCTGATAAAGCCTGTTCTCATGCACCCTGGACAATCATCCCCAATATCTAGGGAAACCATCTTCACCTTGACGTTGAGATGCTCGAGCTTGCGCATCACTTGACCAACAATCTCTTGTCTGTCATTGAACGACCACTTCTTCCCCTTCTCAGCCAGCTTGACAGTATCGAACCAGTTAACGGTGAACTTGGTGAGATTGAAGAGCGGTACAAGAATGCAGAAGTCGAGCTCTTTGTCATTGCCATGGTGGACTCGGAGGAACTCAAGTGCTCGCTCAAATGCTTGCCCGAGTCGCAGCGCACGCTCCTCTGTAACGGTGACCTGGTATAAAGATCCATTCACGATGAAGTCCCACTCAGCGTTCCTAGCTGAGGAAGGCTTGAACAGGGCATTCTTGTGGCCTGGCAGGATCTGTGCCGGGAAAACAGCCTCACGCCCAGCTCCTGCCTTCCGATCCAGATCATATCTTGAAGCAACCTTTGGGAAGCCCCCCTGCAGAACTGGCCCAAACTCCCCATTTTCTTGGAGCTCCCTGTACTGTAGCTTACTACCCTTCGGAATGATCACTTCACAAATAAAATGCTCCAACAGCTTTCCCTGGACATCCCTGAGAGCGTCTGGTTGCTCTACCGACAGAAAGCGCTTCAGATCGGGTAACGGGAGATTTGATAGCAGCTGCTGTTCAACGTAGGGACTCGCAAGAGCCAAGCGGTAAGCCGAGTAAGTGCTCTCATCCACAATCATGTGGAGCACCTTGTGACTCTGGTCTTCCTGCAGTGACTGGAGCTTGATAATCTGGTCGAAATCCCTCACGGCCCCAATGGCACTGCGTATCTCCATTTGGACATCTGGCCCTATCTTCTCCAGCACATAGTAAGGCACACCACCCCATTTGAGGAAGCGTTCACTCACTTCTTCTGGATCATGCCCAAAGTTGTGCTCGTTGAGGGCCAGAAGCTCATTTTCTGTCCAGACTGGATCGAAGAACTTCCGGACGCTGCCGGCCTTTGCAAACTCATAGTAATCAGCTTTGACCGGAGAACACGTTAGCAAGAACTTGCAGCGCAAAGCCCAATCCGAACTTGGTATCGAATTGTCAGCAAGATACCAGGGCTGATTACCACGAGCCCATAGCGCGTCCGAAATGTCCCTATGCTCCTCCACTTTGAGTTGGTCGTCATCCGTCCAAGAGACACATATGTAGTCACGAATTGTAGGTAGCCTGATGATGATGTTGCGTTTCATGGCCAGCAGTTTCCACAACGCCAGCCACAAAAACCCTGTCTTACCGATGCCAGGATTCCCCAGCAAGACTGCGCCTGCCCTGGGCATCCCTTTCTCCTTCGCCACCACCTCATTGTGTTGCCACACAAGATTAAAAATGGGATCGTAGCACTCGCGGACGAGGAGCTTTCGGTTTATGCGCCCCGTGAGCCACCACTCGCTAACATCGTCAGGCAGATCCAGGAATGCGGCCTGTGCTGGAGGAGCGCCTTTGTCCACCTTGACTTGATTGCACACTTCGACCTTGATTCTGGCACGCTCCAGAGCTGCTATAGCCCTTACCGGATCCGCCCGTTTGTGCAGCTGCCGTCGAGGTGCCCACAGTGCACCACACCGCCCCACCCACATTTCGCCAAACCTAAACCGAGAAAGGTGGTAGCTTTTTAGCGGGATAACCAACCCCAAAATCTCAATGATATGTAGTAGTTGTCAATAATCATACTCTATGCATGTTTGAAAGCATAACCAGAGCAGCAGCTTGATCCTCCCGACCAAAGATCTTCTTCATCGCTCGACATCCCCGTTCCACTTCCTGATGGATGGAACAGCCACCAAGTATGCTCATCCACATCACCGGATCATCTTCCTTGTCACTAAACTTTTTGGCAGCCTTCATCGTCTCCTCCGCTTCTGCCAGCCGCCCTGTTCGTCCCAGGAGATCAATCACGCACCCCAAGTGATGCTTGCCAGCCTCCAGTCCGTAATCCAGTGTCATGCACGCGAAGAACTCGAGTGCCTCGTCGATCGCTCCCACGCTGCTGCAAGCCGACAGCAGTGCCACAAAGACGACGTCGTCCGGGATGAGACCCTCTTGCTGAAGCAGCCAGAAAATCTCGAGAGCCTTCCATCCCTGTGCGTTTCGTGCGTAAGCCACCATCATGCTCGTCCACAGCACCATGTCCCGAGAGCTGCTTAAGCCGTCCAAGACGCTCCTGGCCTCCTCCACACTTCCACATCTTCCATACATATCCACCAGAGCCGACCCGACGATGCCACACGACTTGAGCGATCCAGCAGCCGCGTCTTCGATCTGGCTGTGGATCTTCCTGCCTCGAGCAAGAGCGCCCAAGTTTCCACACGCACGGATGACGCTCAGGCATCCGGCCTTGGTGTGGACGGGAGCCTCGCCCCGTCTCTCCCCGAGCTCGAAGAGTTCCATCACTTTGCCGTGCTCGTCGTGCTGCGAAAAAGTCGTGAGGATTGACCCCCAGGTAGCGGAGTCTCGTCGAGGCATCGAGTCGAAAGTCTCGCGGGCCGCGTCGCAGCAGTGGCTTCTGCCATACATGTTGATCGCTGCGTTGCCAACTTCAGTGTCATTATCGAGCTCGTTTCCTCTCAACGAAGCATGAATCATTCTCCCCTCGCTTATGAGCTCCGGGCTCGAGCAAACTTTGAAGATGGTGACGAGAGCTGCCTTGTCCGGGAGCACTCCATTCTGCTGCATCCTCTTGTAAGCTCGTAGAGCTTTGCTGTGCTGCTCTGCCTGGTAGTATCCCAGGATCATGCTCGTCCACGACACCACGTCGTGACGGTCCATCGCGTTGAAAACTTTCTCGGCGTCCTCCACGCTTCCACACCTCACGTACATGTTGAGTAGAGCCGTCTCAGTGGTGGCTTTGAGTCCCAGCTTTCTCTTGGCGATCAGCCTGTGAAGGAGCCTGCCTTGTTCTAGCCACTCGGGAGAGGAAAGTGCGTTTAAGATGCTGATATAAGTCACCTCGTCCGCAAGAATTCCCTCACACTCCATCTTCTCCAGCAGCTCCATGGCCTGTGCGATCATCCCACTCTCGGCATAAGGACCGATGATGGAGTTCCACGAGATCACGTCCTCCCGTCGCATGGTGTCAAAGATCTCTCGAGCTTCGTCCAGCCACCCACACTTCGCATACAAGTTGACGAGCGCTGTCCCGACGATAACTTCCGATGCCAAACCAGCCTCGGACACTCGAGCATGGATTGCTCTTCCCTCTTCCAGAGCTTTCAGCTTCGCGCAAGCGTAGAGAACTGTGACGAAAGTAACTTTGTTTGGAGTCACGTCCTCGGCTTCCATTCGCTCGAAGAGAACGAGGGGCTCTCTGTGATGCGCCCGATGGGCGTAGGCCGAGATGATAGCGTTCCAAGTGATGACATCTCGAGCCGGCATCCTGTCAAACACTGCGTAGGCATCTTCGAGGCTCCCACACTTCCCATACATGTTGACGGTAGCGTTTCCGACGATCAGCTCCGGCTCGTATCCAGCTTCCACAGCCAAAGCGTGGATTTTCTTCCCAAAGGCCAGGCTCGACGGCTTCTCGCAAGCGTTGAGAACCGTGACGAACGTAACATGGTTTGGCGTGACACCATGAAGCAACATCTCTCGCACGAGCAGGGACGTTTCCATCGTTTTCCCTTGTAACGCCCAAGCGGAGATAAGCGCCGTCCAAGTGACAACGTCACGCTCGGCCATCCTGTGAAAGACTTGAAACGCATGTTCAGGCACTCCACACTTTGCGTACATGTTGACGAGCGCATTTCCGACGATGATCTGTAGCTCACAGCCACTTTCCTTGATGCAGCTGTGGATCTTCCGGGCCTCTTCTATACTTAACGAACTCTCGCAGCTGTTAAGCACCGTCACGAAAGAAATCCTGCTTGGTCTCACCCCTTGAAGCTGCATCAAATGAAACAGCTCCAGAGCCCTGTCCGGAAGTCCGTTCCGACCATAGGCCGCAACCAGCGAAGTCCAGCTGATGACGTTTTTGTGTGGCATCCGGTCAAACACCTCTTGTGCCTCTGAGAAGCTCCCACACTTTCCATACAGGTTGATGATCGAGTTGCCAAGAACGGAGTCGACCACTAATCCTGCCTCTAAAACGTAGCCGTGCAGCAGGAGCCCGTCCTTTAAGCGTTCCAGAGCGGCACACGCCTCGAGCACCGGAAGAAACGCTACTGCGTCGGGCTTCAGACCTTGTAGTAGCATGCACCGAAAAACTCCAAGAGCTTTTGCGTGGAGTTTTTCTCGGTTGAAGGCTCCAATAATCGTTGTCCACGGGATAACGTCCACGGATGGTTGAATTTCCTTGAACACTTCCCAAGCATGTTGGGCACTTCCGTTGTTGAGGTACATCTTGACAAGAAGTTTGCGTAAGTACACGTCTCTGTCCAGCTTTTCCTTAACAATCGCTTCATGCAACGACTTACCATCTTTCAGAGAGTTGCACGAGCTAAGAAGCTTAGCATAAGTTCGAGCGTCCGAATGCTTATCGTCCTTCTCGCTTCCTGGAGGCGGAACGATATTTATCAGCGTTCATAGACATGTAACGGGTGTTACGAGCATACCAGAGAAGGAAGAAGAAGTCGAGACAGCTCCTGTAAAACAAAAGAAAGCCAATGTAAGGAAAGCCAAAGCAAAAAAACAAAACGCACAGGAAGAAGCTTACCACGAAAGATCATCGAATTTGGAACGTTGGATGCGAACGATAGCACCATTGCAGCATCAGCCTCTTACAGGAGGAAACCAGGAAAATTGAACTAGGAAAATGAAGAAGACAATTGTTTGCTCTAAGGCACTTTGGCCACCGGTCTATCGTTTTCTTTCTGTTGAAACGCGACCGAGCCTATTGTCAATCTGCTTAGAACAAACTCAGAGACGTAACCTACAGACAATGCTTACCCCTTGTTCTTGAGCCACAGTGGAGAGCTTGCAACCGGATCATAGACCCCCATTCGCAAAAGTCTAGGGGCTCCGAAGAATTTGTTGTGCTGAAAATTGCTTGTCGTTCTAGAGTGATAAATGGAACACAAAATGGAAAACTACATACCTTATCACGTCGATTTGACATAGAAATAAGGGCAAACAGGACTTGGCTCTGGCACGCGTCATTATTGAGTGGTGCCACATGTCGCCTATTTACTTCGAACAAGCATTTTTTAAACATCCTCTGGAGTGACAATAGCGCCAGGGGCTTGGCCAACGGCACTCAAACTGCCACCCGCGGCATTGGACAGCGCACCGCCGCCGCCTCCCTGCTGCAAATCGATCACCTGCCACCGCACCGCCTTGCTCAGCTGCTCGAGCCGCACGGCACTCAGCGGTGCCACGGCGGCGCCGCCGCCTCCCGCCTTGGCGGCGTCCCCCGCTACTACCCTGCCCGACACCGGGCCCGTCGCCTCATCCACCAGGCACTCGGACCCAATCCTCTGCCTCACGCTCTCCACGAATTCCTGGGCCCGATCGCACGCGCCGTGGAAGAGCTGGTGGTTCTCGAGAAAAGAATTTAGGGCTTTGTCCGTGCGCTCCGATCGCTCCCCCGCTGCTACTTCCTTAGCCTCCAGCGCCGCCGCGCACGCCGCGAGTAGCCTGTGGTACGAATCTTGGAGAGCCTGGAGGATGGGATCCATTCCAAGAACCCTAGAAATGAAGAACCCTAAAACAAAAGAAGAGGGCATTTTTTTGGTTTTAGTAGATCTGGGTGAAGAAATTCCTTTTGTTGTTGTCAATCAAGTCAGCTCCTTGAGAATGCTCTGTGCCGTTTCCTCCAGATTGAGTTTCTTGAGATCTTCGAAAGGTCTCGTGAGGTCCTGCGTCACAAAATTCTCATTACGAGAAAGATCGAGCTCGACTTTTTCTCCCTACCTTGAGCGACACAAAAATCCGTCCGCCATCGTCTCTGATCTCGAAGCAACCCTTCCGCGGCTGCGAGAAAGATGGATGTGTTAGACGAGCGAGATCTTCGCCGCGGCCAAAAGTTCTCGCGTACCTTTTCCGGGTTGATGGAGATTTTCAAGCTTGGATCGGCCTCGATCAGCAGCGACTGGATGTTCACGGCCCTGGTCTTGAACGAAGAGCATTGCTTGCTGCAAACCAAGAGGAAATTCTCGCAAAGTTCTATGCCAAGGAACGAGAGAAAAGGGAAGAACTTACCAGTGCTCGATGATTATGTGCGCCTTGGACGCTGGCGGAGCCTTCTCCTTCTCCTCCTCCTTGGGGCCGGGATTGGATCTCGTCACTCGCTTGGTGCCGGGGACCAGCGGCGCCGATTCTTTCTTCTTCCTGCCCTTGGCCTTTGGCTTGCTCTCCTCTTCCTGCGAAATATTTGGCGGAGGAGCATCGTCGACGACCTTCTTTTCTTCCACCGGAGGAGCCGCAGCGCTCGTCGCGACCTCGTCTTTCTTCTCCTCCTGCGCCTCCTCTACCTCGCCAGCGCTTTCTTTCTGCTCAATCTCCTCGGCCGCAGTATTCTTGTCGACCTGTTCGTCCTCGGATGCTTTCGCCTTCCGGGACTTTCCCGCCGCCTTGGATTTCGCCTTGCGCTTTGGCGGCATGATCAAGCGCGCAGAGGAAAGAAGAAGAAAGACGAAGAACTGCTCACGGACACTCCTCCCAGGCGCTAGGGGAAAGCGAAATGGCAAGCTCCTGGCTATGGCGCCCAAGAGGATATGCTTTATCAAAGTAGGCCCACGTGGACCATCCAACGGCCGAGATCGATGGGCTCTTTGGAGAGTTTGAAATTGCCACGTTGGATGGGGCATTCCGTACATACCGGGAATTTGCGACCGGCAGTATGGGCCACCTCCGGTTCCTTTGCCAATGAGTTTTGGTTGCGTTTAGCGCGAGAAGAAGGGCAGTACGGTGGAACCAGAGAGATTGCCTAGTGGAGATCGGGTCTTCCAGGGGTTTTAGGGTTTTCTGGGGTTCACTTAAAATCTCCTGGGGGGAGCTCACATATTTGCGACGGGCAATGGCGGCAGTAGGGAATCCGCAATACAATCCCTGGTCAGGCGCGACGCCGCAACCGGAAGTGGCGATTGATGAGGTAGGGAGCTTCGATTGGAGGCGCTGGATTGGATTTCATCGTTTTCTCGATTTTTTCTCAGGTGAGGACGATCTTCGTGCTAGGTTTTCCACCAGATGTCAAGGAGCGGGAGCTCCAAAATCTCCTGCGCTGGTGGCCCGGATATGAGGCGTCGCAAATGAACTTCAAAGGCGACCAGCCAATGGGATTCGCGCTCTTCTCCACCGCCTCAATGGCAATGGCTGCTCGAGACGCACTCCAGGCAAGCGTTAACCGGATTTTAAGTTGGTTTTTCTTTTTCTCTTTTGATCATCACAAGTAATCTTACATCGTTTTCCAGAATCTAGTGTTCGATGCCGACGCTAAGTCCGTGCTGCGTGCCGAGATGGCAAAGAAGAACTTATATGTGAAAAGAGGCAAGTAATCTAATATCCAAGTTTTTATGATATGTCTGCTCATGATTTTTTGTTTACGGTGTCAGGTGTTACGGGGATCAATGCAGAGGGAACAGCATACGATCATAGCAAGAGAATGCGAACTGGGGGCGAGTGCACTCCTGCCTATCCTCCTCCTTTTGCACCTCCTCCGCCGCCGGCGTGGCCACCCCAGGGGTGAGTTCTTCTTTCTTCCGTTTTTATTCTTCCCATCTTGCACTGTTTCGTTTCCTCATTTCTGTTTTTTCTTTGGGGTTCTGCAGGTACATGGCTCCAGCTCCTTACGATCCTTATGGATCGTATCCAGTTGCTCAGGTACCTCCTCCGGTTCCTCCTCCTGCACCCGTGGCACCTGCTGGTTACGCTCCTGTTCAGGTAGAAGCTTTTTCTGACGTCTTGTGTGGGGAACGTTACCACCATGTTTTGTTTCAGCAGAACACTAAGGACAATCCGCCATGTAACACTTTGTTTATTGGAAATCTCGGTGAAGCAACGAGTGAAGCGGAGCTGCGTGGGTTGTTTAGCAGGCAAGTTATTCTATCCGTGCAAACCTGATTGTTTTGACGGTTCGGAAGTGTCCGTGCAGCCAACCAGGTTTTAGACAAATGAAAGTACTGCGCCAAGGAAGGAGCACTGTGTGTTTCATCGAGTTTGTTGTGAGCATTCACACTTTGTCCTGTGTTCGCAGTATGTAACACTGGTGCTTTCAGGATGTAAATACAGCTATGGCAGTCCACACGAACCTTCAAGGTGCTGTTCTTTCGACTTCAGATCGTGGTGGGATGAGAATACAATATCCTTTTTTCGGTTTCTTCGTTTGTTTTTTTCTTCGTCTTTGGTTGAATTTCCTTGACAGTTTGTGCACGTATTCGAAAAATCCTTACGGGCGGAAGAAGGAGGGACCTAGTGGGCAGCTCGATGGGATCCCTCCTCCCGGTGTGTCATCGCCAACATTAACAACATTGAGTACAATGACAAATGGTGCTACCGATCGCAATTCAGTGACTTCAGAGACGTCGACTGCCTGACATAAAGGGATGTATTTCCTCCGATCTTTTTAGCTCGCATCCAGCATAACATCATCTTGAACTGACTGCAAGCATGGATGGCATCGTCAGAGTCTGTATCATTGCATCGTAGGGGAGGAGGTGCGCTGATGGTCGTCTCCATACTTACTAGGTGATGGCGTTCTTCGACAAAAGATGCATTCACCGCATTTTAGAATGCAAGGTACTGGCTAGCGGGAGGAATCGGGTCGGGGGCATTATACATGATACTGGTGTGATAAAGCATGAGGCACACAAAGCTTATCATCATCGGTCTTTGCACACAATCTTATTGTTTGGAAGCTTCTAAGCATCCATTCATTCTGAAGACATTTGTGCATTTTGTATTTCGTTGCACCGACCTTTTCTTCACTCCCCTGAGATAAACAACTTGTTTTTGTTTGGATTATTTTAGGTGCCAAACAGACAATCTTCCTTGCGAGTGATCTAAGAAGTCGTGAAGTAATTCAAGACTCCACACGGGCCACGGTTTTGTACAAGTAAGTATATGGTTTTGCTGCAGAGGTCAGTATTTTTGTGGTACTTCTTGGGCTGCTTAAGTTGCTCATGGCGGCTTTAAATTGCATTGCCTGCGAATGCTTAAATGCTCGTCCTTTTTATTTTTTGTCGTGCTGTTCCTGCTGCTCTGTGCTGCTTGGAAAGAAAGGAGTGAATTAAAAGAGCGATGGAGTTATGTTGGTTTGCTTTGTGGTTGTTGCGTAGTTGCTTCCTCTTTCTCCATTTTCCATTCATGCACAATGGTCGGAAGGGGTCAACCGATTTCTCTCCTCCCAACAAGAACATTGAAGCATATGGAGTGTGAAATCCATTGCTCTCTGAGAAATGGTACACGCGTCGTGAAGATGACCGGCTGACCTGATGACTTGCATTGTCTCGCAGCTGCGTTGCATCAGTGCAGGCAGGAGTAGTTTAGGCAGGGTAGCTCTAGCCATTAGAATGCTGCTTGGATTCTGGATTGTATTTAGGCAGGAAGGAAATGCTAGAGTCGTGAGCGAGTGAGCGAGCAGAGCAGCGCCTTCACTTTTCCGGATAGATTTTCTTCCGTGGAGTTGCAAGATCTGAGATGGATCTCTGGTTGTCTGCATTCTGGTTTTGGCTTACTTTGAGTGGCTTGCTGTCGGGAACAATGTCACAGCTGAGAGCCGGCTTCTACGATCTCACTTGCCCTCGAGTGGAGAGCATTGTTCGAACGACTATGACTCCGAACTTGATGGCGGATCCCACTGCAGCGGCGGCACTCGTTCGAGCAGCATTCCACGACTGCCAAGTTGGAGTAAGTCTGTTTTTCTATGACGCTATCTATATACCGGTATTGATCTGGGCTTGTTTCGTGACGCAGGGCTGTGACGCATCGATTCTTCTAACTTCGGCTGGAGCAATCACCAGCGAGCAGGAGTCTGACAAGAACTTTGGAATTCGGGGGCTGAATGTGATCGACAGGGTAAAGACTGCTGTTGAGTTCTGGTGTCCCGGAGTGGTGTCGTGCGCGGACATAGTGGTCCTGGCCGCCCGGGATGCGATCACTATGGGAGGAGGTCCGACCATAGATGTGTTACTAGGCAGGAGGGACAGCCGGTTTGCAAGCAATGCTCAAGCAGACAGTTCTCTTCCACCGGCAACCATCACAGTTCCGGCAATGCTCGACATGTTCAAGGCGAAAGGCATCACTCCGGAGGAAGGTGTCGCTCTCATAGGTGAGTCGAGCTTTTCCTTTTTCTAAATAGAAGTTGTTCCTGATGAAATGAGTGAATGATCTTCTAGGTGCTCATACAATCGGAGTGTCACACTGCGTGAGCTTCGTGAATCGTTTATATCCCAGTAGGGACTCCGCAATGGGATTGGTGTACGCTGGAAGGTTGGGCTTGAGCTGCCCGACTGGGAACCCCGTACTCATCAACAACTTAACCGTGGTAGCCAACGATAACACCAATCTCATCTTCGACAACCAGTACTTCCGGGACGTGAGCAGCGGAATGGGGCTGCTGACGATCGACGCGGAGCTGGGAGTGCATCCAGCGACGTCCGGGATCGTCGCCCTTTACGCCCAGAACCAAAAGGCCTTCTTCGACGCGTTCACCGCGGGGTTCCTCAAGCTCACGTCTCACACGGTGCTCACCGGCGACAGTGGCGAGATACGACGAAGCTGTGGATCTCTCAACTGATGGGAGTGATGATTATCAGGCTCGCCAAGGCTTCCAGGAGCTCGATCGATCGACCCAAGAGAGGCTTGCTGGTGTGTGAGATAAATAACGTTAGGAAAAAGGGTTCACGGAGGAGTTAAGATTTTTGGTATGAGCAAAGACATCGTTGCTCAAGGAGTGGACAAGTGTGATTTTTGTGAGACCCTTTTCTCACATTGATAGCTCATTGAATAGACAAAGTGACAGTCTTTGCGCGGCGTGGTGGTGGTGGCCACAGGCCATTGGTCATTGGCCAGTGGCCAGTGGCCAGTGGCGCGCGATTTAGTTGGCTGTACGGCAGCTCCGCCGTACTTGTCCGGCATTGCTCGTGAGCACGTTGAGCTGGGACATTTTCTGGAACCCTCGCGCGAATGCGCGGAAGAAGGCGGCGCGGTCGGCGGCGAATTGATTGACGATGCCGCGGGTGCGCGGATCGCTGGCGAGCTGCTGATCGACCGTGAGGACGCCGGTGCTGGCGATCACATCGCTGTAGAAGCGATTGTCGAAGGCCAGGTTTGTGAAATCGTTGGCGATGATGCTGAGGTTGTTCATCGGGATCGTGGCCGGGCAACGCAGGCGCAGCGACGCGCCGAATCCCAGCGGCAGCGACGAATCCATGCGCGGGTAGAGGCGATTGACGACGCTAGGGCAGTGCGACACTCCCAGGGTGTGGCCTCCTGCGCAAGATCGAACGATATTACGGGCAAGAAGGTCGAGCAGGTGTGAAATACCGAGCAGCGCTACTGCATCCACCGTGTCGAGGCCTTGCGATTGGAAGACGGAGAGCACCCGATCGAGCGGAGTTTGTGGCGGGAAAAGAGAATCGTCGGCTTGCTTGGCGCTGGCTGTGGTTCCATCTCTTCTGCCGGTCAGGATCGGTATCGTCGGCCCTCCAGACTGTGAAAATCCAAGCGAGATCAGAATGGTCAGCTCTTTCGCATTCTTTCTTTCTTCCGAAATGATGGAAACTTTTGTTGTCTTACCAGAGCAATGGCGTCCCGGGCAGCCATGACGACGATGTCCGCGCACGACACAACGCCAGGGCAGGAGGCCTCGAGCACCGACTTAATCCGGTCGATGGCGTCCAATCGCCGGATTCCAAAGTTGTTGGAGGAGGCGAGCTCGCTGGTGGTGACCGGGGAGAAGGATTGATTTTTGGTGGTGGCGAGAAGGATGGATCCATCGCAGCCCTGGACTTGGCAATCGTGGAAGACTAGGCGGACCAGCGCAGCGGAGAGAGTTGGATCGAGCAGGGTCAGTCGCTGGACTGTGGAACGTGTCATGGATTCGGCGTTCGGACAACTCTGCTGATAGAATCCCGGGGTCAGGCCTCCTGCTGCTGCATCGATCATCACCGGAACAAGAACTGGAAGCAACAGGAGCAGCATTGAGATTCTTCCGGCCATCGAAAGAGATCCGAGCTAAGAAAAAAGAAAAAAACACAAAGTGGAAGTGCCTGGAGCGATCAACAGGTGAGTTCTCGGTTCCTACTCTTTATAAGAAAAATGGATTGTGTGTTGACCACCTAACTTGCAGCAGGCTAGCCAGTATCAGAATTAAAATTCCGCTGGGCGAGCTTTGATAATGGCAGTTGAAGCAGATGAACCAGATGTTTCCACGCACAGGATTAAAACTCTCTTTGTGCGCTAAAAATGGAACTATCTATGGTGGCAAACTCGAGCCTTGAGGCAAGGCTTGATTAATCTGAACGATGGAAAGATGAAGCACCACGTTTGCTATTACAGCGGCATTTCTTCCTTGTTTGTCTGCTATCCGCTGTCTCGATCTCTCAAAGAGGTGCTGATGTTCCAGAGATGGTAAAGTTTGATGCCTTTTGTAATCTGGTGGAGCTGACGAGGAGATATCCATAGCTATGGCCAAGAGTTTAGCCAACAACAAAATGATGGGGGAAGCTTTGTTTATATTGAGCACACATTCAAATCTTCTGTAACTAAACTCAAATATAAACCTGTCAATGGCAACAATTTTTTTTTAATTATTTGTTTCAGTGTTTTCTGGATCTTCATCAGCTTTCCTGCTATTCCTGAAGAACAACATGGCAAAGCTCATGATGGTGAGGAATGGTTAACGAGTCTCCAAGCTCGTTGGAAGCAGGAGCTCCAGTAAGTGTGAGTTGATTGGGCTCGAAGCCTTGGATGAAGTCTTCCAGCGTGTTCTTGGAAGTTTGGAGGTTTCAGGTGATACCACTCTTCTAGATGCTGCTTGTCCGAGTCGGAGGAAAGAACTTTGAGTTGCTTCCCAGGGCAAGGATCGTTCTCTGGCATTCCGCGAGCTCCACAGCAATAGAGCCACGTCGACCGATTCTTCTGTCCTTTCGAAATATTAAAAAGGGAACCCTAGAGTTTGCGGATGTTTCCTTTGGCCTTGGATGTCGTGGTGGTGAACTCGAGCGTAAAGTTGGACACAGATCTCTGTAAAGGACTTGGTAGCTTGTGCCAAGATCTCTTCTCTGATGACCTGACCGATATGATTCTGGACTGGGCAAGTTTGGAAAATGCATGGCGGTTCTACAAACTCACTGGGAGGTCCTGCAACAGATGGTCCAGAAGTTTTTGAGGGAGGGATTGACACTCGAAGCTCTAGAGGCACTGGACAAGACGTGCGACCAATACACGTTTGAGGAAGTGCTTGGGAAGCCTTGGTGGAGCATGGCATCCTCAGTGAAACCAACAAAGCTTCTAGAGAAGAAGGACCTCATGAGGGATCTAGGTTACAAGTGTGGAAGCTGGGTGTTTGAGAACTTGATTCGTTTCCTCTCAGAGACAGAGCCCAAGGATGCTATACAGAGCCTGTTTTGCGAGATGATTCGACTGCATCCGGGATACATTGCAGGAAAAAGAGTCTACGAATTGGTTCTGGCTCACTGCTCCTCGGAGTTCATGTGTACGTACTTTGTGGCCAAGGAGGCAAGAGCGAAGGGTGTTGACCTGGTTCTTTCCCACACGTTTCTGCATGATTTAGTTGGCATCAACAGCTGATCACTCTAGCACAGGCTTATCAGATTGTGCTCAAGGCAGCGAAGGAGGTCGATGTTATAATCGCCATCGTCAAGCAGGCAATGTTCCATGGGGTGACAATGGGTCCAAGTATCAGGCCATTCTTGACTTGCGCAGCGATCCCGGAGAACGAACTTCTGATAGCTACCTTGAAGAAAGGCCTGATCAATCTGTGTGTTGGCGAATACAGCATCGCTGATGCGTTCTTTGTGCTTGCAACCAAAGCCTGCTATCCGCTGCCTCAAACTCTCGAATAGCTGCTAAGCCTTACCTCCAATATTCCAGAGATGGTAAAGTTTGAGGCGTTTTGTAATCTTGTGGAGCCTGACGAGGAGACATCCATAGCCATGGCCAAGAGCTTAGCCAACAAGAAAATGATGGGAGAAGCTTTGTTTATATTGAACACACACCTCAAATCTTCCAAGTCACCCGAAGTAACTATACTCGAAGATACAGTTAAAGGGAAGTGGTCGTCTGAATTTAAATCTACTTTTTTTTTGCAACAATAATTATATATTATATACACACCAAGATTTTTTCTTTACAGAGATGTTCTAACTGGAACTTTTCTTTCTTTCTTTTTTATTCTCACTGTTTCAGTTTTTGTGGTTCTTCAAGATCACATCAGCTTGGGTTCCTGCTGTTTCTGGAGAAGAACCTGGCAAAGCTGGAGCCTCCATGATAGTTCTTGGGATGGTGAGGAATGGTTACGGACTTTGCGAGCTCATTGGAAGCAGCAGCTCCAGATTTCTTGCTCACAAATCTTCCTGGCGACCTCATCACCGTCCGCCTGTATCCCGCCGCTGCCTGATCCCCCGAGTAGAGCCATGTCGAGTCCGATTCTTCTGCTCTTCCGTTGGTCTTGCGGGGTGGCGGCTGCAACTCTTCCACACTCCTTGGAGGACTCCAAGGGAGTGTGAGGTGATCGGGCTCGAAGCCTTGGAGCTTGATCCTCGACCACGAGAAGTCTTCTTCGTCTTCCATACGGAGCGTGTTGTTGTTGGAAGTTTGGAGGTTTCGAGCGATGCAACTCTCGTCGATGTCACTGAGCTCTTCTTGATGCTGCTGCTGCTGCTGCTGGTGGTCCGAGTCCGAGGAGAGAACTTTAAGTTGCTTCCCCAGGGCCAGGATCGTTCTTTGGCATTCCGCAAGCTTCACAGCAATCTCGTCGCCCTGCAAGTGATCCAGTGATCAGGCCGCGAGCGAGAAAAGAATCTGGGGAACTTACATTGTTTTGGTTTGCACAATCTTCGTCCGGACGATCACCATCGCCACGACAAGAGTGTTCTCTGCAAGACAAAGATGCTGTAAGTTCAGGCCCGCGAAACATTAGAAAAGAAGGAAACGAGGAGTTCTTACAGGTTGATCTGCTTCTCCAGTTCTTCATATCTCTTCTCGAGCTCCCGGTGCTGGTCCTGCTCCGCTTGGAACTTCCCTTCCACCACTTCCAGCTTCTCTCGCAACTCCGCCACTGTGGAGTCGGCCACCTTGATCCGTTCCTCCAGGCTCGCTCTACACTGCGAAAGCTCGCTCCTACATGTTGTCAGCTGCTGCTTGAACTCGGAGACCAGCCTCTCCGCAATCGACAGCTTCGATTCCACCTCTTGAAGTTTGTCCTTGGATCTCTCGCAGCTCTGATGAAGCAACTCCTTTTCAACCTTGATCCTGCTAAGTTCCTCGGACAGCTTCTTTGCCTCAGTTCGCAAGCCCGTGTTCTCCCTCTCGAGCTTTTCCATCTTGTGTTGATCCGCGCCAAGGAGCTCGCCGCTGCTCTCTTTCCTCATCAGACTTCTCAAGCACCTCCCTTGCTCGGATCCACTGTCGCTCGAGACGATCGAGGTAAGAACCGTGGAGAGCTCGCTCATGAAATCGATGACGCTAACTTTCCCTTCCACCAGCCTGTTGCTCGCGGTCGTGAGCTTCTCAAAGCTGGGGTTCGCCATGCTGGTGGATTGATCGCTGCTGCTCACGTCCGAGCTCACCGCCGAATCCGCACTGGGCGATGGCAGAGAGTGGCCATCCTCATGCTCCGCACCCACAGAATGAGCTAGAGCTTCCACCAGGCACACCACCTTTTGGACGTTTTCCGTAAGAGCGGCATGGATCTTCAAGCTCTCTTTGTCGTCCGCCGCCACCTTTTGATCCCCTGGAGCTGGAGCTTCCAGCAACAAATCCAGCTTCTCCTGGAGCTTGATCAGAGAGCTCTCGTTCGCGGCATTCTTCGCCTGGAGGGCGCTAAACTCCTTCTCGGTCGCCAGGAGCTTGCTGCTGATCTCCATGCACAGCCGGTTGGCGGCGTTGAGCTGTTCTTCCTTCTCGGACACAAGCTTCTCCAGCTCTGCTGCTCGATCCGAGGAACCCGATTCAAGCTTTGGAGTTTGGTCGAGTTCCTCTTCGCTCTTGGTTGCTGCCGCGCTCGACGTTAGCTGCTCCATCTCCGCAAAGTCATCCATCATCTGGAACTTCGAGTCGCCGGCCAGGATGATCCGCGGGCTCTCGCTGCTGTCAACTTTGGACGGGTCTTTCTTGAACTGGTCCAGCTCCGAGATCATGGCCGACGTCCAGGCGTCCGCACAGCTCGCGCCACCTTCATCATTCACACTCGACTCGGACATGGATCCCACCGCCAGAGCTCTCGGCTTCAATCCCCCACGGACACACGACGACGCTGCCTCGGAGAGATCCTGCGCGGAAGCCAAGCTCTTGGCCGCCTGGAGCTCGTTGTTCTTCTGAGCCAGAACTTCTCGCAGCAGTTTCGTCTCCTCCTCCATCGACAGGACTCTCTCCGTAAGCAGCTGGATCTGAAAGTCCTTGTTACCACCCGAGAGCCGCCCGTGGTATTCACCGCCACCTCCGCCACCTTTGCTGCTCCCGAACGATCGTCGTCTCTCCTCTCGTCCCCACGAATCAACCTCTTGTTTCATCTGAGCCACAGCAGCCGGACCAGGCAGCTTTCTCCTCACCAAGCTCCGGAGTCTCTGACACTCGGCCTCCAAAACTTGGATCTTCTTCACGCCATCCAGGTGCTGCTTGTGCGCCGCGTCGGCCTCTCGCTTGCAGTAGTCCTTCTCGTCGTTGCGAATCTGGAGCTGCTTGTTGAGAACCTGGATCTCGTACTGCAAGCTCAAGTTGTCCTTGTCCATGTTTTCCAGCCGGATGTTGAGCACACCGATCTCCGCCTCGGCCTTGGATCTCGCCTCGCTCAGCTCCGCGATGCTTCTCATCTTCTCCTGGAGCGTCGCCACCAAAACTTTGCTCTCGGCAGTTGACTCGAGCAACCTGTGCCCGACTTCCGCGACTCTAGCCTCGAGCTCCGCCCGAATTCTCTCGCACTCTTTGTTCTTCTTGGCCAGCATCTCCTGCATTCTCCGCTCGTGATCGTCCTTGGCTCTTTGCGAGCTTCGGTGCGACTCCTTGAGCGCCGAGTCGAGCTGAGACACTTTTCCTTCGAGTTCTTCTTTCCTTCTCGACAAAGTCTCGAGCTGGAGCTTCGTGCTCGCTGTTTCCTCCTCTGCTTTCTCCCAGCCTGCGAGGAACGAACGAAGAAAGCTGACGCTGAGTCACTCTCACACAAGGAAGATAAAAAGAGTTTACTACCACCACTGGTCGTAAGACAAGTACCTGTGACCGCTTCCTCGGCGACTTTGGCATGCTGCTTGACGTGGTTTTCCTTCTCGACGAGCTCAGACTGTGCCGCTGCGAGCTTTGCATTTACATCTCGTAGCTTCTCCTCTGCCTCTTGACAGCGAAGCGTGGCCTCCTGTGCTTGATCTGCCAGAAACTTTGACATTCCCTGCAGGAGTGATGGAGCTAGCCAGTTATAAATCGCTTCCAGAGAGACTTGGAGAAAAAAGAAAAGAACTTGCTACTTACGTGATCGTCATTTCTCCTCGAGGAGCGATTGGCTGGAGACACATTTGCAGAAGCTGCAACAGGCACAAGAGCTCCGGAGTTTTTCGAGGACGACTTTCGCTTCCACGGCCAGCTTCTTCGATCCATTTTTCCCTGCTGTTCTTGTGGAGCTCAACACTTCAAATTCGCTCGCTGCTGCCAAGATCAGCTATCAGCACCTGGGAAGATCAAGATGAGAGGAATGCATCACAAAAAAAAAAGAAAAAAAAGAAAAACTCGATCACGATGAAGATGGAGAAAAAAGCTGGCTGCCTGGAAAAGTTTATGGCCTATCCAAGACTGGAAGGTTGGCTTCTCAAGAACGCAACCTGGTGAGAGTGATGTTTGTGATGATAGATCACTCGCTCGGGTCCCTGCTTGACTTTGTCGAGATCAAAGGATAGGAAAATCTAGAGCAACGCAAGCAAGCGCGAAGCATCAGGCATGCATACCAACGCACTAGTCACATCGGGTTTTAATTCAGGGGCTATAATGCATTGCGATCCACGAGGCAGCGAGCAAATCGAAGAAGCGGGGAGAGGAGATGCAACGTCGCAAAGATCAGATCAGAGAAGAGAAGAAAGAGATGGGGAAGAATGTAGCTATGTACATTTGCACGACTAGATTTTTATTTTTCCCCTGTGCTCTCTCCTCTAGGCAGGCAGCGCTGCGAAGTTATGAGAAAGGAAGATCGCCTGACCTCGAGAATCTGGAAGAAGGAGCTGGTGGGTACTAGCAATGGCGCCCGGGCAGGACGATCCATGAGATCACGCGGTCGCCCAAGTGAGAATTGATCGAGGAAAGAGGACCCAAATCGGTGGTTTCCTCTCAAGAGAAACGGGGAGGGAGGAGGAAGAAAAAACCCTCTTTCTCGCTGCTGTTCTTGGTCAGGCAAGGCAATGGCGAGGCAATCAATATGAAAGAGAAGAAGGAACCAACGGAAGGAAGGAAGAGTGAATGAATGCTGTCCAAGCAAAACACCACCTCTCTCACCCTGTGCGCGCGCGCTGCTGCGGTACTGCTCACTCACAAACAATCTCTGGCGCTGCAATTGCCGAACAGTTGTGCTGCTCCCTCTGTCGATCGATCCAAGAGAGAAAAGCGGGGCTGGATTCTTCCGCGGAGGCAAACAAGCACCCACAGCCAAAGAGGAGAGAGAGAGAGGGGACCGCTTCCTCTCCTTTCTCCTTTGGTTGGAGGAGCTACCACAAGTGGCAATTTGGATTGAATGGCGAAAGAGCCGCGCTGGGCTTTGCTGGCTTGGCTTGGCTATGGTGTGGCTTCTTCCACTCTACTCGAGCTTCCTCGTCGTCATCGTGTCGCCCAAAAGCCACAGAAACAGGACGTTCCACCACCCAGCTCTTTTTGCCAGGATCCCAAGCTTTGCGAGCGCACCATGGATTAGAATCGTTGCGATGCTTTGCGTGAGATTGGGGATCGCATCACACCACCACCACCACCACCGCTCTGGCCAGCGAGAGAGAGCAAACTCTCACTCTAAAACTATTAAGCTAGTTTCCTTCTAGGGAGCCTACGGCAGCACACGGCCACATTCTATTTTCTGGCCCCCACCGGAGAGGCCGTACGGTGTTTGGTGCCACCCAGCCAGCACCATCACCAGCGCCACCACCCCCACCCCTCACGGGACGGGAAAACGAAACGCACAGACTTGGTGCCGCCATCTTTTGCCCGGATTTCTTCCGTTAAATGGAAACCCGCCACGTCTTCCGGCGACGTTCCCATCGCAAAATAAGTGCGTCAACTTCGCGCAACCAATGCCAAATGTGTGCGTGTGTCATGTCCGGATTTAAAAGGCGAGGAATATCCTTCACCGGCAAAGAATATACCGGTAACAGGAGCATATTCTGCTGCCCGTCAGAATATTCTTTTCACGTTGGCGGCGCTTGCCGGCCGAGCATATTCTGTTGGCTGGCGGAATATGCTCGTTTCTCTCGGAGGCATATTCTTCACCGACCGTAACAGGAGCATATTCTGCTGCCCGGCAAATTATTCTTTTCACGCCCCTAGGTTACCGCGTATTCTGTTGGCTGGCGGAATATGCTCGTTTCTCTGCCGGGAATGATTCTGTGCAGGCTCTGCGAGAGCGAAACAAGCAAGCTCCCACTCGTTTTCGTCCCGCTCTCACGCGCGGTACTCATGCCCGCCAGGCGCAAAAGCCACAGAAATTCTATGATAGGAGGGGGTAAGGATTCCGGAAATTTGGGTCAGGGTGGTGGCAGCCTTTGGCATCTTCATCTCTTTGCTTTTGCGCGGCTAGCAAAGGCATCTCTCAATCATCTGCCCTGGTGACCACCACCACTTGCATTTCCCCGAGGAGAAAAACCTCAGGAGGAGGGGAAATAGAATATGGGAAAAAACAGGGAATCAAACTGTAAGAAACTTCCTCGCCCTTGGCAGCGATCGATTGTCCTCCCTCATCTACTCGGTGGCTCGTGCTTTGTTTACGTAAAACTTTGATTTTGCTGCTTCACATGCGCTCCAACATTTGTCAAAAAACGTTAGTTTTTTCTAGGCACTGTTTTGCTTTCGCTCAAAAACTTCCATTTCTCGCAACGACAGGAACGAGCGAATCGCTCGCAAACTCTGATTGATTCTAACCCACTGAGAAATATCCGGTGTCGCTTTCTAAGCAAGGAGGAGGGATGCAGCAGCCAGCGAGTAAACGACCAAAGCGCCGCAGAGCAAGAGTGGAAAAAAAAAGAGAGAGTCAGGCATATCATATTCATCCTTGTTGGTGCTCCAAATTTTTAAGTTTCCTCGCACAGGAATGAATGGAATGAATTCACTCTCACTCACCAGTTGTTGAATTGAATGCGCCTGGGAGGAAAAAAGGAAGAAAAACTCGATCGATCCAACCACGCGGTTTTGATCCCCGGATTTCCCAATTGGATCCAGCCAGCCTGCAAAAACCCACGACCAGTTTGAGTATTTTTTCGCAGACTTCGAATTTTTACCAGCTTTTTATTCCTTCCTTGTTGCTGCTGTCGCCTCTGGCTGCTGCATTGCCTCTCTGGAATCCACCCGAGCCGAGCCAACCAATTCTTTCATAGCTCGATCTCCTTTTCTTCTTCTTCCTGGCAGGGAGAAAAAAAAAAAAGTTCCAATCTCTTGCTGTAAGTTCGTGATATCTCGCTGCCACCACCACCTCCACCACCACCACGATTCGGAAAAACTCAAGACTAAACAAGCGCGGCTCAAGGAAAGCCTGGAGCCCTGCAAAAAGCAAAAGGAGCTCTCGCTCCCCTCGCTTTCACTCGAGAGTACCTCGTCGTGTCCAGCAGTCGGAATCAAACAGGAAGCTTACTTTTCTTTTTCTTCTCCTCTCAAATCCGATGTTGGTCGTGTCTAAAGCCTGGCCCGCAACTGTGATGGAATGAATCAATGCGTGAAAATCTCAGGCACAACCAGCAGCAAGGAGCTATGATTGCCGTGAACGGACACAGAAGATAAAAAAAGGAGAAAAGAGAGAAGCCACTTACGTGCTTAGTATGACATTTCTTTCTCGATCTCGCTCCGGATCAGTGGCACAAGAGAGCCTCGTGAATCCAATTCTTTAGCGAGACGGTGCGTGTTCACGCTGTGAACTTTGACAGTCACCTGCAAAGGAAAAAAAAAAAACCACAAAAAAGCATTTTTTTAATGTTGTAAGTTGTGAGATTGATCAGAGTGGAAGCTACCATGACCTTGGTGTCGGGTAGAATCCTTGCTTGAGCGCAATCGTGTGACCAGCTTCCACAGTGGACGGAGATATCCGCATTTGACTCACGGACGGCGTCGAGCAGCGTTTGCTTGTACTGCTCCAGCCACGATGCATCTTTCCCTGGTCTGATGGAGGATGACTCCAGATCCACCTGCAAGGAAGTGACAGCCATCATCAATGCGAGAAAGATTGAGAAACGAAAAAAACAGAGAAGAAAAGGAATGAAAACTAGTACAGTTTTTTCTTATTACCTGGGGGCAAAAGGCCAGAACTGAAGTAGCCAGCCGTGAGAAGCGCAATGCTGCTGTTGCTCCCATAGAATCTCCCAGCATGACGACTCGCTTGTAGCTTTCCACTGCAGCTTCCAGTTCTCGCTTGTAATAGCTTCCAAGTTGGTGCTCCTGCCGCGAGTTAACAATGCTGGTCAGCTCCACGACTTGTTCCTTGTTTTGAGTGTACCAAGATCGCCAGCTATCAACAACATATAATATGTCGAAAGCTGGAGTCACTCCACTGGCTTCCATTTCTTTTTTGACTCTGCTCAGCAATCCTCCCCTTGAGAAAGGAAAAACAAAAGGAATGTGTAAGGAATGAGAACTTCTCATTTGTAAAGAACAAGCCAAGACTGACGCGTTTTACCAGTTGGGAACACCCGGAGCGCTTCCAAATGCTACAACTAGAACAGTCGCTTCCTTCCAATTTGGATTTCTCGCATTGTATCTGTGAAGCTGATGCAGCAACTTATTGTAAAGCGAGAAAAATATTTTTGTAGCCATCTACCTTGAAGTAGCCACCGTCAGACACAGCGTCTCCGGTTCCAGCAACATCTGATACGCTTAAAACTTCTAGGAGCTTGGAAGAGATTTGATCTGGCAATTTCTACAACTCCACAAACATGTGAGACTTTAAGATTGGTGGCGGGTCTAGATGCTGTTCTTACCACATCTGAGCTTACACCAAACGCCTTCATACCATCTGGCAGGTGACACAAGGATTCAGCCTGAAAGGGATTTCCCTGAGAAAGGGAAACAATAAAACTCTTGGTGAAAACAAATATATGCCTTGAAAACCAAACCTCTAGCCAGAGATTGCGAAGAGATTTCAAATCCTGGAGCGCTGGAGGAAGGTGATGAAGATTGTTTCCATACCTTCACAGCTAGGCAATAAGAGAAAAGTATTGGAATAGAAGATGGATGGCTGCTTACAGTGATAAAGACTCCAAAGCTTGTAGATATCCTATAGATCTGGGCAAGGATTGAAGCTGGTTGTCCGCAATGCAGAGCTGTTTCAAAGATACCAGCCCGTCTAAAGTTGATGGCAAGCTTTCCAAGCTGTTCCCCTGCAGCATGATATGCTATTTCAGCACGAAGCTTTATCTTTTGCATCGTCTGGACAAGGATAAAAGAAAGAGAACGAAGATGTCAACGAGTATAGCACAGGATTAGAGACCTTACTTGTAACCACAGCTCTTGCAACGATGGAAGGCTTCCAATGCTTGAGGGAAGATGGAAAAGGAGGTTGCCAAATACTGCCAAAATTCGCAACGCGCACAAAGATCCAATACCTGTTTACAAGTTTTGAAACTTTTCTCTTATTGCATTCCAAATGGTACCAGAAGGTAGCTCGATGAGATTGTTGCCAGCCACCGAAAGAACCTTGCAAAATCAATAAAGAAGTTGCTTAAACATTGGTTTGTTCATCGAATCCAAAGCCTACCTCGAGGCTCTTAAGACCGGAAAGCGTTTCTGGAAGAATGGCCAGCTGATTACCGGCGAGTGCTAGAAACCGGAGCTGCTCGAGTTTGCCTATCTGTAAACCACAAGGAAGTTCTATGATTATTCCAACCATGCTGAAAGCATACTTGTGGAGGAAGAGCGTGAAGAAGATTCCCATGGACCCATAATCCTTGCAAGTGCGTCAAGGTGCCTATACTTTCTGGCAAAGTACGCAGAGAATTTCCGGCAAGTCCCAGTCTTTGAAGCTGGAAGAACATACTTTAGTGAAAATGCTATGAACTGTGAGACCGCAACTTCCGATCAACTTACGTTTTTGAGCTTGTAAATCTCCTCGGGAAGATTGGTAATGCGGTTGCCTGCGACCGAAAGATCGACAAGCTCCGAGAGACCAAAGACCTGCGCTGGTATTTCTTCGAGACCTGAGAGGGAAGAAAAACTCTATACAAAATCAGCTTGCTTGGAACTTGCATTCTTACCACAATCGCTCAAGTCGAGCCTTCCAGTGCTAGCTGCTACAGAGATGCGAGCCTCCAAATCTATCATACTCTTTTCTTCGCAAGGGAAGAACAAAGGAAAAAAGAAACCTTTACCCGAGGAGATTGGTGGTGCTGGCAAAACCGAGCAATGGGTTATGGTGGAGCATCGGGACGAACACGAATGGCCCACTGGCGCATTCAGCAACAACGGAGCCATAGCTATCGCAAGGAAAGAAAAAAGAAAAGATTTTGTTGACAAAATGGTGTTAAGTCGACTTGGTCGCTAAAACTATCGGTGAGATCACTCAATTGTCTATGCGCTTCCTCTTGCGGTTTTCATCTTCGGACCTTCGAGGAGCCTCGTCTTCGCTCAGTTCACCACTCGCCTCTTTCTCGCTCGGCCTCCACATTTGCTGGAGCAGCGGTGCTGGTGGAAGTGGTGGTAGAAACATCGGTGGCCGTCCATATCCCATGAAAGCGGCTGGAAACGGTGGTGGCAGCGCTCCAAAACGTCCCATCTCCAGCGTCTCGTGGTGTTCTTCAGCGTCGGGAGGAGCTTCTTCGCGCTCGGCCTCAGACTCGTTCGCAACAGCCTGTGGAAAGAAAGAAGATCAAAACGAAGTCCGCCTAGAAAAGAATTTGCAAACCATGAGATTGCTGTCGAGTTCCAGATAGAGGAGCTCTGCAAGCTCTTGTCCAACAGATGGTTCGACCTCTTGGCAGTCTCGACTTATCTGTTCAAGGAGAAAGAGTTTCACAAATAGCTGAAAGCATGAACGTAAACCTTGACTGGGAGATTCTCGTTGTATGGATTGTGCAAGTGTCTCGTCTTGTGGAAGGATAGCTCGCACAACTAAAACAAAAACAAATCGAGTCAGTCGAGGAAAGAAGAAAGAAAAGAGAAAAGAACTCGCCTTGAGCCACTTGAGACGAAAGTTTCGACCATAGCTGCCCATCCCGTGCGATTGCTTCCATCCCGCAGTTCCATGAGCAGCACCTCCGGCTTTGGACATCATCCTGGCACACCCCTGTGAGCAGCAAAGCCGGAGAAGAAACACACAACAAAGCTTGTGTTGATTTCTCAAAGAGACGAATGGATCATGAAAAAGAGATGGAAAAAAAGTCGACAAAGAACTTACTTGAAAATGACGAGTTTCATTAACTGAGAAAATAAGAATCACATGTTCACAAGATTCAAGAGCTTCGTTGAGCTTTGCCTCGTTATTTCTATGCGTAGCCCACACCCCGCGTCGAACGGACAGCTCAAGGTTCTCTCGATTGCTACTCTTAACTATGAAATACCTGCTTTGAGCTGCAAACTCTCAGTATCACAGCAGCTTGGTTTTTTCTTTGCGTTTTTGTTAAAGTTACCTCGAGAAGCCATACGGGAGTGGATTCGAGGCCGACATCATCTTTCGAGGCTTCCCTCCATTCGGTCCTCCATTTTGATGATCGTAGCCTCCTTGTTGCTGCATCATCGGAGGACGAAGAGGGGGCGTGTCCGAATTCATGTGTTGCTGCTGCTGCTTTTGATGGGGCTGATACCGAAACTTTGACAAGTGTTGCTCCACCGGAGGTGGCGGCCCGGGCAGCTTCTCGTGTCGATACCGACACTCTGGTCCATTGGGACAGAATCCAAGCTTGTACCTGTGGACAAACAAGGCAAACAAAACCAATTAAGATACAAACATGAACGACAAAAACTTGCTCTGGGAAGAACTTCTTCTAAGCTATAGCGACATGAAAACAAAACAATGGACTAAGCTATAGCGACATGAAAACTAAACACCTGGGAGCTACAAAGGAAAAGAAATGAGAGCTTACTTACATGTTGCATTCTTTGATGTCCTCGGTGCTGTGCTTGTAGATACAATCCGGCTCTCTACACTCCCCAAACCTCGCAAAAAATCGGCACAGCGGCATTCTCGACTTGTCATACTGGTGGAGGAAGCCGCAATCGTTCCCTTTCATGCACAATCCCCTCAGCCAGTGCCGGCACACCGTCTGCCTGAAGCTACGCCTGACCGGACCGCGCGGCGCCATCGACATCCCCTGCCCCTGCACAGCGCCGCCTCCAAGGCCGCCCATGGCCTGCGGAGGCGGCGCTTGGCCGCTCGCCGCCGTGACAGCATCCAATCCTCCCTCGAAATCGAAATTGAGGCCTCCATCGTCGTCCATCCCCCGCAAACCCTAGCCAGAGTTTAGGGTTCTTTGAAAGTGTATATTCCATGGGGCTTTCATGACGTTGTGAGGGTTTCGTCGTTTAGGGTTCCTTGGCGCGGCCATGACGGCATCGGCCGGCATTTCTGCCGGCGCTGCCGCCCGTGTGGAATGCCGCTGCTGTCCATGCGCGTCGTCGCTCAGGTAATCCACTCGCATTGTCGATTCTCTTGTGTCGCCGCATTGTGATCGATCGTGCGATTCGATTGCCAGCAGCAGCAGCGGGGATTGCCGAGTGAAGCTTTCAGCTGTGAGAAGTAAGTAGTAGTAATGAGCGTGATGCGCTGAGCTCCAGCTGTTTGAAATCCAGAGAGAAGGCTGCAAAAGGCGATTTTTTTGTGCGGAAAGAAGCAGCTAACGCGCCAGCCAGCAGGAGCTTCTCTCTTGCCCGACTCAAGCTGGTTTTTCCAAGAGAAACGGAAGAACACAGACCTCCCAGTGACGCAGTTTGTGCAGTGTGCATTGTTTGAGGTACTTATGGCTAGCATTTTGTTTCCTTTCTCAATGTGTGTGTTGCAGGCAGTGGTGATTGAAATGACTATGCGTTTCTCGTGGAAGCATCTGTCGGGTGCTTTGCGAGACTTTGAGTTGTTAACGGCTGCTCGAGCGTTTCTAAAAGGCTTACACGCATGTAAGCCAGTGGGAGTTCCGGGACCAGACTTCCCTTCAAGAGCTAATTTCGCTAAGGTGGATTGGAGCAGATCACGCATCTCTTACATGCTAGATGTCATGCTCGAAAGGCATCCCATGTCGTAAGCACTATACCATTCAACTGCAAGCATTGTAAGTTTCAAATGGCTTTAATTCTCCGGCAATCTTGTATTTTTCTTCTCTTATATTGACGAGTGCATTCGCAGATACATGTGCCTGCTTGCTATGGGATGCGTGGCTCTGACTTTGATCGGAGGGATTATTTTTAATAAGAACAGGTACTCGTGTTTTGTTTTCTAATGTTCGCGTGTTTCATTCCCGTGCTGGCAGGACTTTTAACCAAAAACTTGAAGATTCATTTTGGGATGCTTGGGCTTGTGTTTGTGCATCAAGTATGCACCTCAAAGTGAGCAAATCGGAGAAACTTACCGTAGATTCTCTTGCTGACCATTTCGCTGCAGGAGACAACTCGTGCTGAGAGAGCAATCGGTTTGATGCTGGCAATGTGCGGAATATTAGTTTATACACTTCTCATGGGCACGATAAATGCTCAGTTTAAAGTTCGTTGCAACAACTACTGTTTTAAAATTATTTAAGTGTTTGAATGCGTGATTTGCAGAGTCATATGGATCGGCTGAGGGAAGGTGCTCATTCTCAAGTGTATGAAGATGGACATATTGTAATTTGTGGTGCGAACAACCATCTCGTGACCGTTCTCAAACAAATTAACAAACGTCAAGCACACCACTGGCGTTCTGGAGCAGCGAGATCGAGGTATGATAGAAGCGAAACGTGTGTTTCTGTAATTTCTTTGTTTATGTGCAGAAAGCAGACAGTGTTGCTTCTCTCTGAGCGTCCACGAGCCTACACTGATCAGCTTGTGATGAGTGTAAAAGACCAACCTCATCTTAATATTTTAACACGAAGGTATGGTTGGTTCTTTTCTTACGACTTGCGCCTAACTTGTATGCGTTTAGTGGAAGTCTGAGCTCCACGCTGTCCTTCCTTCGAGTTGGTGCAGATAAAGCTCGCACCGTGTGTTTTCTTTCCAACAAGGATGACACGTAAGTTTTAGATAACAAGAGATATTGATGACTTCAGGTACGTTTAATGTGCAGATACGAGGCGGATGCAGAGGTTGTTCTTTCGGTGTTGGCTCTTCGGCCTTTACTTCAAGGATTTAAAGGAAATGTAATTGCAGAGGTAACAGAGAGTAAAGAACTTTCAGTTTACAATGCGTACAAGATTTTCCGTTTTGTGCAGGTCTCAAAAGCGAGCTCTGCTAATCTTTTAATGTCATTGTCGGGAACGAGAGTGCAAACCGTTCAAAATCTTTCAGCAAAGCTATTTGTACAATGTTCACGGCAACCAGGGCTACGGGACGTATACAGACAAGTGCTCAGCTATGGGAGTAAATTCTAAACATAAAAAACCTCACAAAGTAACAGAGGTTGAATGCTTAAAGCTTTTGGAATGTTTCTGAAGAAGAAAATCTCTCTGGGCAGAGCATGTCATAAACCTCTACAAATATCCGGGACTATCAGGTTTGCACTACCAACAAGTCCGACGAGGCTTTCCAGAGGTAATTCTAAAGTTTTCCTAATACTGGTGATTTATTGGGAACAAGCAGGCTATAATTTGTGGAATCCTTCGAGAAGGAAAGCTTGATTTCCATCCCCATGAGGATCTTGTCGTCCGTAGCAGCGACAAGGTATAAGAAGCTTTCGTATTCTCTAATGTTGCTCATAATTTTCGACATGCTGTAGTTCCTCGTTATAGCACCGAAAGGAACTCAAAAGGAAGCTCCACATAGTCTTGTGAAGATCGCTGAGAGATATCGCAAGACCCTTAACACAATTGACAAAATCCTATGCGACTGTAGAGGTGGACAGAAATGTCAGATTTCCACCGAACACGTACCAAAGCCACAACCAAAGGTAATAAGTAGCATTTCTCGTTTCGAGCATCAATTTACAGCATGAAGTCTCATTGCAGGCGGCCGAGAAAGTCCTTGCTAGAAAAGAACGAATTGTTATTCTCGGGTGGCGCCCAGATGTTTGTGATATGGTTCTCGAGTACGATGATTATGTTGGTCCGGGTAGTGAATTGGTACGCATAGACCATTCATTGGTGATTTCGTTTCGAACCCTGCGTTGATGTCAGGTTATACTAGCTGAGGCCTCCTTGGAAGAAAGGCAACTCGTAATGGACAGAAGATTTTCAAGGCCATTGCGGAACATAACGTTGACGCACAAGGTACTGGCATTTGTCCTCGGGATGCTTGCTATTACTCGTGAATTTCTGTAGTAGATTGGAAGTCCCATGAGTCGAACAGACTTGAAACTTGCTATTACAAACATTGCTCCGGAGTTTGGAAATGAGGATACTCCGCCTTTGTCAATCTGCGTCATTGCGGATGGCAAGTGGCACGTCGGAGGTATGGTGGTTGTGTGAAGGATGGAAATTGTCGGTTGACGCGTTTTTGCTTTACCAGGCACCCCAAAGGCAGACAAACAGTCCGCGTTTGCTCTTCTTCTCGCAGAAGCGCTATGCAGAGAGTATAAAATCAAGGTAGGCTGCGTCCATTGGCAATGCTTTCGTTTTGGCAATGTGCTTGCTTCAGGTGACGAGTTTGGTCGCCGAGTTCGTTGACAAGAAGCTTGGAAAGCAGGTTCGCTGCACCGACTTATATGATACTATATTCTCTTTCCTATTCAGGTTGTTCAAAGCCACCCGTCTCTAAATTACATCTGTACCCACGAGTTATCAGGGCTCGTCACTACTCAAGGTGCTCACAAGCTCTTCTGGCTCGACTCGAACTCTTGAAAGTTCTTGCTTCTTTTTCCTTCTCCAGTGTCGGAAAATTCGGATTTAAATGCGGTCTGGACGGAGCTCCTCAACTCGTGGGGGAATGAGATATATGTCCAGGTATTCATTCACCTGTCTGTTTTTTCAAGACTCTACTCAACCTGGAAGTCATTGTGTTTCAGGATATTGGCCTTTACGCAACCACCAATGAAGCTCCCTCGTTCAACGAGCTTGTAGAGCGTGCGGTCTTGCGTGAAGAGGTAGCTATAGGATATCGGCGAGGCAACAAAGTGGTACGCCTTTTACTTGTTAGCATAGGCAGCACAATAGGGATGATTTCTTTCTTTTGTGCATTCGTTTCCTGATTCGATCTCTTGTTTGTGTTAAACCAGGTGATCAATCCCAAGTCGAAAGAAATACCACTCAGATTCAAACCGGGAGACGCACTGGTGGTAATTGCCGAGGACCAATACGGAGTGAGCTAAGAGCTAAGGTGAGAACGTCCTGCCCGCGCTTTGGAAGAATATGCTTATATTTAAACGTGAGCTCCCGGATCTTGGGAGGAATAGCAAATAGACTCGAGCGCCGTCAAGACCGGCGTGTATCGAGATCTGATGGTCAGGATTGAATTTTTGTGTGGTCTCTCCAATGTTGCTCGCTGGTGTCGTCTAGCTTGGTTGCTGCAAGGTTTAAATCAATTCATCCAGTTACTTGGACTACTGATGCTTCACCTCTTTCTTTCTTTTTTCCTGTGAAGAAGATCGATCATGGGGTCCAATTTCCTTCCCGAGGAGTCGTTCCAGAGCTGGAGCAGCTATGTCCACGCCCTGTCGGAAACGCGGCCTCGATTCATGGACAGGCTGCGAGCTCGCTCCAGCGATCAGGAAGAGCTGCTGGAAGTTAAGTCGCGGAGCAAGAACGAGATGATCAAGACGCTCAACTGGTGGGATCTCATGTGGTTTGGGATTGGAGCGGTGATTGGAGCTGGAGTGTTCGTGCTGACGGGACAGGAAGCTAAGGAGCACGCGGGGCCTGCGATCATTCTCTCGTACGCCGTTGCTGGACTCTCCGCCATGCTCTCCGTCTTTTGCTACACGGAATTCGCTGTGGAGATCCCTGTCGCTGGTACGCTTTCCTTTCCTTGATCTCAGTTGCTTCGCTCTTGAGTTTCTGTGAGTTGCTTGGTGATAGCGTTTGCTTGGTTGAGCTTCGTGGATGAAGTCTTGCCGGTGAGTAGAGAATCTCTTTTTGTTGCTTTGCTTGTTTGCTAGTGATCAAATCGACGGGTAATCACGAGACACTGTTTTTCCTGAATGTTGTTTGTCTACCTGGGTCTGTAACATCAATAACGGCTGAGCGACTTTCCTTGATCTCAGTTGCTTCGCTCTTGAGTTTCTGTGAGTTGCTTGGCTTGATAGTGTTTGCTTGGTTGAGCTTCGTGGATGAAGTCTTGCCGGTGAGTAGAGAATCTCTTTTTGTTGCTTTGCTTGTTTGCTAGTGGTCGGTGAGAATTAAATCGACGGATAATCACGAGACAGTGTTGTTCCTGACTGTTGTTTGTCTACTTTGGTCTGTAACATCAATAACGGCTTCCTTGTGGACTTTCTCCATGAGCGACTTTTGTTTTTTCTTCGTTGGTTGATGACTTTCAATTCTCTGTTTTACTACCATTAAGCTTTAATATGTTTCTGGATGAAAGGTGGCTCATTTGCGTACTTGCGAGTGGAGCTGGGCGACTTCGCGGCTTTCATCGCGGCAGGAAACATCGTCCTCGAGTACATTATCGGCAACGCGGCCGTGGCTCGCTCCTGGACGGGATACTTCGCAGCTCTCCTCAACCACGACAGCTCCGACTTCCGGATCTACGCACCATCTCTGGCAAAGGACTACAACTATTTGGATCCAATCGCAGTGGTAGTCCTCTGTATCGCGGGAGCCATCGCCTGCTACAGCACTCGTCATGCCTCCACGCTCAACTGGATCGCCTCCGTCGTCAACATGCTCGTCATCGCCTTCATCATCGTCGCCGGACTCACGCAGGCCGACACTTCCAACTACACCCCTTTCATGCCTGGCGGCGTCCGGGGCCTCTTCAGTGCTGCGTCCGTCCTCTTCTTCGCCTACCTCGGCTTCGACGCCGTCTCCACCATGGCCGAGGAGACGAAGAACCCCGGCCGGGACATACCACTCGGCCTCCTCGCCTCCATGACCATGGCCACGGTGATCTACTGCTTGATGGCGCTGACGCTCAGCCTCATGACCCCAAACGCTCTCATCGACAAGGACGCTCCTTTCTCGGTGGCTTTCAAGCTCCACGGCATGAACTGGGCTCAGTATCTCGTCGCGCTGGGAGCTCTCAAGGGAATGACCACCGTTCTCCTCGTTGGTGCTGTCGGACAGGCCCGCTACTTGACTCACATTGCTCGGACACACATGATCCCGCCGTGGTTCGCCGTTGTCAACGGGAAAACTTCCACTCCAGTGAACGCCACCGCCGTCATGGTTGCTGCCAGTGCCATCGTCGCGTTCTTCTCCAGCCTCGGGATCCTGGCCAACCTCTTGTCCATCAGCACGCTGTTTATCTTCAGCATGGTGGCGATGGCTCTGCTTGTCCGGAGATACTACGTCGAGGGGGTGACGAGCACGCGTCATGCGCTCGAGTTTGTCGGCTTCATGGCGGTCATACTCGCTTCCTCGATTGCCATCGCGATTTACTGGGCCGTGAGCGACGGGTGGATCGGCTACGTTGTTGCTGTTCCGGTTTGGTTCCTGGCTACCGCAGGCCTGGCCGTGTTTGTGCCGACTTCCAGAAAGCCGAAGGTGTGGGGGGTGCCGCTGGTGCCTTGGCTGCCATCGCTGTCGATTGCTACCAACATTTTCCTGCTGGGATCCATCGACACGGCCTCGTTCGTGAGGTTTGCGGTGTGGACGGGGCTCATGCTCCTCTACTATGTCTTCTTCGGCCTCCACGCATCGTATGACGTCTCCAAGGAAAAAACGAAGAGGGATCCGAAGATGGAAGAGCCTGTCAAGCACGCAAGCAACGACGTCGAGGCAGCTGCCACTGATGAGCACAGCAAGGCCGTTTTGCTCGAGAATGGAACTGCAGAGCAACAGACAAACAACTAACAAACATGCCTCGTGATAAAATAAAGTTGAAAGTGTGGTTGAAAGACATACAAGCTCGAAAGCGATTTTAATATTGAGTTCTAGAACTAGAACAGAAAAGATTCCCATGAACTGTATATTACATTAACTTCTCAAACGTGAATCTGATACTGTTTCTAAGGAAGGATTGCCAAAGATTGCTTTACTATCACTCGGTGCTTATATTCGCTAGAAACCGACAAAGAACCTGCCTAGTAACGATCGACACAGCATGAAACATGTTCAAGCTTGAAGCGCTATGATATGATCCATCGACTCACATTCTAAATCCAATGCTCGTTTCTAAGTCTTCTTCGCTTCGTATAACGTATCTGAAAGAGGAGAAGAAAGGAACCAGGAATCCAAGCCTTTGTAAAGCACGCAAGGAATGACGTCGAAATGAAGAGCAAAACAAGGCAGTTTTGCTCCACAAGGGACCCAACGGACAAACAAACTAAAAACACTCCCTATTCTCTAGGAAAACAGATCACAACAACAATCTCGTTTTGATTCACTTGTCGACCTGAGCTGTGCATGCAAACAATCCAATCCTCAAAAACTCTACTGCCTAAGCTGTAAAAAAAAAAAAAAACTTACCCAGCTTTCCGAGTCCATTGCAACGAGCACACACGATTTGGGTGTTATCCTTCCTTGCAGCGTTCGCGGTCAGCTTGGAACCAGTCTTCCTCACGAATCCCGCTCCATCGCACTCGGGACACCTGAAAAAAACTCAAGGGACATCAGTCAGCCATGGATGAATTGAAAAAACGAGAAAAACAGATCGTTACTCACAGATCCTTGCGGGAGAAGAAGATGGGAAATGCAGTTCCTATGACTGCAATCCCAATTGCCCCGGCGATCAAGTAGCTTGTGCTGTTCGATGAGAGCTCACCAACGGCACACACCACTTTGGGTCCTCGACGTCGGCCTCCGTTGCTACTTATCCCCACCACTGAACCTCTGCTGTAAGCGCCTACGCGACACGAGCTCGACGCAACAGTGCCGCTGGAGATGGAGAGTGCTGCTGATGTCGCCATGAGAGGAGCTTCTGTCAGTTAGCAGCGAAAGAGCAGCCAGCCAAGCCTTATCCGACCATAGTATTTATAAGAGGCACGTCTTGTGGATAAAAACTCACCTGTATAGTACTTTCTTAAAAGGCTTAAAACATTTCGTGTTGAGTAAATCGAAAACTCACAGCTTTAGCTCCATTTTGCTTGAATGGTTGCTCGGACGAGCAGTGAATAATGTTATGACTCCTCATCCACAGCGGCTTTCTCTTTACTTCGATCCGAAATACTTCTCAGCATTTCCAAAACCCTCGATGACAGCTGCAATAAGCGCCAACTCCGTGAGTTTCTTTTCTTGCTTATAAACGTTTCGATATAGAACATTACCTCGGAAACGTTGTGCTTTGTCTCCACTGACACCCACAGCGCTCCAGGTGGTCCACTAGTTTTGTACCGGACAATCTCATCCACTTCTTCGCCATCACGAAGAGCTGGCACTTCCAGGAGATCAGCCTTAGACACCACGTCGATCCAAGGCCGGCTTGGAAATCTTCCTCGAATTTCTTTATAGATATAAAACTGCAAGTTCATTGCGCAATCGTGTAAAGTACTGGCCATGAACTAAAATTTCCAGCTTTTACCTGGTCTTGCACGCTAGTACCACATTCTCCCGTAAGGTCGTGCACGTATAAAACAGCCGTTGGGAGATAAGCTAGTGCCGCTAAAGTCAACTTCTCCATGTCGTTTCGGTCCGCTGGTTATATACAATGCTGTTAGCAACAGAGCGAAGAGGAAAATGAAACGACAAGTTTTATAGTCGCACCATCAATCCTGTTGAGCAGACCTGGAGTATCTGTAACCTGAACAAATCAGGTTGGTGACGCTTGGACTGTATAAAAAGCCGTTCTTACACCTACCTGGTAAGAAAAAGCATAATCCATTATATGACCCATGGAAATAGCTCTTGTTGTGAATGGATAGTTACAAACCTGCATGGTCGATACCCAGTTAGCGAAACATACTCAAAAACCGAAAAAGAAGTTCCAACCTCTGGCTTTCCCGTAGAGAGCACCCGCACCAAAGAGGATTTACCGACATTCGGAGCTCCGACTAGGCATAGAATTGGGTCGCGAGGATTGACAACCGGGAGCTTCCTGAGAGTCTGTAAACCTAGTAAATTCTCTGATCCCGCTATAAATGCAATCAAAGGTGTCAACCTTAGCTGTCTCTTTCAGATCCTCAAGGTACTGAACGTGCTCGTGGAACACAACAGTCATCTCGTGAAATCCCTGCACAAGTGGTGGTAAGACTTTTATCCAAGAGCAGAAAGAAAGAGCACCTCATCTTTTAGATCTGCAGCCTCCCTTCTGGTGCTTGACTGCATCAAATAGTTGGTTCACGAGAGTAAGCAAATGCCAGAGAGGCGACGTGAGCTCACCTTGGAGCACAGCGAGGCCATATTCTTCCCGCACAGAGTCAGCTTTTTCCTCAGAGTTAAAACGTTGCCAAGGATCTGCTTCAGTACAAGCATGAAACAACACACACTAGATGTGAAATCCAAGTGCGAGTGGACAGTACCTCTTCGTACTTGCCTTTTCCGAGTGTGAACTCTAAAAGCGACCTCTCATACGCATGTAGTTCATAGCTCCTGGGGAACTTTTTGAAGTAAGTCGTTAGAGGGACTGAGAGTTCCTGCGAAGAGAACACCGATAATTCTCGCACCCAACATAAACAAAGAATGGAGCTCACCTTCATCAACGCATCCAGCTGCCTTGCTCCGCGGTTTCGCTCCCTCTTGGCGATGTTTGAGATGACTGTGAGCTCGTCGTGAAGGAACACAGATGAAATGGGAAGAAGAAAAACAGATAAACTGCGAAAAACTCAATCACACCTTTGGACGGCGGAACTCTTTTGGCAGCTTTCAATGCGGATGCCAAAATCTCTTCGGCAGGAACAACCATTGGAAGTTGCTGAAACGCTCCCACATCTGGCTGCTGACTTTGCACCTAGAAGACAATCTAAGGCTTTCCTTCTTTTGAATTGTTGGAAAGAATTCACATACCGATGGATGCAATTCCTTAAACAATCGGAGCTCATCATCGGTGAGAGTCGGTCTGGGAACCGCAGGCTGGTGAACACCAGAAAGAAGATCACCTACATTTCAAGGAAACAATGAGAGAAACGAATCGAAAGTGCGTAAATGCTACCTCCTCTTCCCCCTCCCTCTGGTGCTGCGCAAGAGCACGGCGGCAACGAATGAACGAACCGAGTGCCAATGCGATGCGGCAGTCGCCAGAGCTGCTGCTGCGGGAGCGCCAGCTTCATCCAATCCCTCCCCTCTCCAAAACCCTAAGAAGCCAAAAACAGAAAGGAATTTCGTTGAATCGCACCCTGTGATTGCGAAATTCCTGTGAGATTGGGTCCAAAAGGTTGTTAGAATGGTGCAGTATTGAAAGAAACTTGGCATCTCTACTAGAAAAGGGAAAGGTGTGATACTGCATTGGGTCTGGTCTTGTTCTTTACCCTTGTGATTCTCCTTTTTTCCTTGCAAGAAATCTTTGTGTGCTCTTTTGGGATGGGACTGAAAAGTCCCCCGGGACTTACCAACAAGAGCAACTCAACAACAACAAATAAACACAAATCAAAGCACAAAAACAATGCTTTCTAGAACCTGGTTGTCCCTTCCCAAGTTTTATTACATTCTTATTTCTTTGCTTTGTCGCTCTTGCTCACCATCCTTTGTGGGATTTATATAAGTCAAATCTTCTGATACTCCACAATGATGTTGCCGGCATTTGGATCGGCCATCTTCTGGAACAGCTCGTGAGGCAAATCAAAAGTCCCATTGCAACCCTCAGGGCAGTAATCCACAATCTTGATGGTGTAAGGACCAGGATTGTTGGTGCAACCATAGGGCCCCTGGTTGTTCTGCCGAACACATTTGATGGTGTACATGTCTCCACAGCCGCTGCCGCCCATGTAAATCGCAGCACTGCCTGCTGCAAACATATGATCAGCTGGAAGGTTGTTATCCGCACAGGCATTTGCTGCAAAGCAAAAGAGAAAATTGGGGATCATGCATGGATGGAATCACAAAAATTATCAACTTACGTGTGTATGGAGAGTCATAGTACGTTGCGGTTCCTTGCGCAGCCATTGCAACGTGAAGTATCATTCCAAGCACAAGCACAACAGGCAAAACTGCAGCTTTTAGCTCCATTGATCGATCTATCTTCACTCCGCTCGAGTTTGCAAAAGCCCAAACTTTTGGCCTGAGGAACTCCACGTTCCCACGCAAGTTATAATCTGGTTTGCACATACGGTCTTCATACGCTGTTGACATATGCGTTAAGGCCACGCTTGCGTTCAAAGTCCGGGCTAGTCAAGTCAGGTCAAGGTCGAGTCCAGGTCATCTAGGGGTTTATATATGATGTGTACCTAGTCTACTTACAAGTAGTAATATTTAAATAGCTTTGACTTAGTTCTCAATGATAATCCATTATGTTAAGCTTGAGCTATGAATGTTTTAGTTAGGATTTTATCTATTCACCTCTACTAATTACTCACATATGGATCCAGAAACTGTCATAAATTTTGCTTATGGTGAAAGAACAAAACCATAATATCTTTTATATAAAATTTAGTGACACCTTTGTTGGTCCTAGATTAATGGTGTCTAACCACTCACTTCATGCTCATCTTCCTGATCATAGTTTTAGTCTTCATTAACACCTTCTCTTAAAAGCAATATGTTTAGAATATGGAAATTGCAATTGCATGCAATAACATTCAGGTGAAAAGAGCAACAGTAGTGGATACTTTGAATACTTTTCCAATCATAATAGTTTCAATATTTAAATTTTGTAAGCATGAGGCAAAACTATCAATTTACAATGATTAAGGTTTTTGAGTTTCCTCCTAGCATCGCAAACTAGAGAGGATTCTACAACTTCTTTGAGGCATTGAATTCAATAAAAGAACTTCTTTGAAGCACAATAATAAATCTAACAAAGCACGAAATTGAGGATTTTATATGATACCTCCTCCTCCCATAGTTTGACAATCCTTCTAACAAGCCAACCCAAGTCTTCTTTTAATGTTGTGCTTTGGGGGGAGGGAGATTATTAAACACCCTACTGAAGAAAACAATAGTAAGGGACATATTATTGCTTGAGATGCAAGCGACAATAAGTTTATGGTCCTAAAAGGTGATTTTGGTTCTAGTTACTTTGAAAGTTATAATGATTACCCTTGAAGCTGCAATGGTATCATGGGCTACAAGTGTTTATAATCAGCATTTGTAAAATATTTTAAATTTTTCACTGATGAATTAAGTTGAATTGGAAAGAGTCTTTTTCAAAAAGTCAAGCAATTATATATGTTATTTATTTATATTATCATAGAAAAAAAATGCCTAAATTATAGTACTTTAACAACCTAGATTCTAAAGCTTGGTGGATCTTGTGTTTGGTCCACCCCATCAACAAATACATTAGTGGGAAGAAAACATTTTATATCCATGTGGAGAAGTTGGGAAATCGAGCATACAATATACCTAGTGTCTCAACTTAGATCTAAATAGGCTCTCTTAATTAGAACTCAATGAATTAATCATGAAATATTAGAACTTGGATAACTCTTTGGGATTATTCAGATAAAATGCTTAATGTTTTACATTATAGGACATTAGTGTAAATTTTTAAGTTTAAACTTTTTAACTTTAATTATCCCAAAACTATTAATCGATTGGAAAAGAGGGTGCACTTTTGTTGACAAGCCTTTTCCCTTTATATTTATATTCTTACAAATTATCTTTCATTGGTTGCTTACAATTGGGATAAAAAAATTGGGATATGATAAGATAAGATTAAAGGACAAGTTTTGTATAGTCTTCATTTCTATATGTAGTCTTTGTGGGTCAGTTATTATTCCAAGCCTTCAAATACAATACACAAGTATCCTAAGGGTGTATAATTGCAATAATGGAAATTGCAGCTGAAGAGGTTTCAGATAAAAATGACTGATAACTTAGTTAAAGAGGACTATATAAGATAAACTTCAAGGCATGCATACCATATGTTTGGAATGCACTTAACTAAGATGTATCAAATCTAAAGTCGAAGGGTGATTAGCACAAGTCTATAGATTCCATATTAAAGAACTTAGCAATTACTAACTATAATACAGTGCTTGAGCCTAGACTTGCCAAACTTGGTGAAGATTATAAATAGGTTGTGGAGGTATGCATGGTTAGGGTGGTGTGGCATTATCTATTCATGGAGTCAAACACAATAGGAAATTTACTCTGAGAAGGCTTCCAACATGTAATATATATGGAAGTTCGATAAAAACTTTACAAGTATCTAGGTGGGTTTTCACTTATTAGCACAAATGCTTTGCTACAAACCTTTCAAGTAAGGACAATCATTCATTAGTCTTTGATTGGGATTTTGGAGAGAATTTCTACAATTGAATTAAAGACATCATTTGATATAACTATTTTCTCCTACATACAATTGAGCAATTGGCTCCTTTTCTAAGTACAAACAGTTTATGTACTTGTAACACAAAGTGAAAATTAAATTTGCCAATCCTAGAATCGACTGAACAACCCCCCTAATAGCATTTATATATGGCCCAACTATATCTATTGTGGTGTCTTAGACTAAAGCTCTTCCAATCTCATATACATAGACTACTTTGTAATGGAATGTATGAAGAATCTAGCAATCAACCACCTTAATAACTTTTATATGTGGTTCACCCACATCTATTATGGTGTTCTCCTAGACCAAAGCTCCTCCAATTTTATATGTATAGACCACTTTATAACTCAGTATGAAGATTAGCACTAAAGGTGAATTGAAAATAGTTAATTTAATTATTTAAAGCCATTTTACATTTTGGTAAATAATGGATTGATTTATAATTGGTGTTCCCTCATTTGTCTTACCAAATTGCACCATGTGCAAACAAATTTATATAGCTAAAACATAGCCTTCTCAATGCAAAAGTGGGAAAATTTATAATAGAGTATTCAATAATATGAAATAGATGTTTCAATTGTTGTACAGCTGTTTGATTCTTATATAAGTCCCTGCACAAAACAATAAAATAATGGCAATTTTTATAACATAAGCACATGCATTTCTTCTCAATGAACCATGCTATTATAGAGTTAATAATTGAAGGAAGTATATTAGTGTCTCCTTTAGCGAAAAGTTGCTAAATTGTGTTGTCCCAAAACACACTTTGTATTGTGCTTCTGAAAGGCTAAACTTAAAAAAGACACTCTCCCAATCTTGCCAATGAGGCATGGTTTAGGTAAGAAGCATGTGTTGAAAAAATATTTCATCTTTGGCCTAGTGGAACTTAAGGTGTCTAACAACAACATAAAACATCTTTTCATCACTTGTGCTCTTTATGTGAAAAGAACTGAAAAGTTTATGTTTTAGCCATTAAACTTGCAAATGAACTTTAGTGTCTCTCTATACTCTCAACTTAAGTGCAATAGTACCATCCTGTAAGATAACAACTTTCTTATGATGTAATATAGTGAAATTGGCACTATCTTGGGTGTTTAGGTAAATAGTGGCATTGAACACCTTGGTGGTGTTAATCCATTATTGTTGATGCTCAGTAGTTTACATACAAACATTAATGCAATTTTTAATGGTAAGATTTCCAATTGACTTATTCTACTACAAATAAGTTATATAAGAGTAAGTGGAGTGGAGTTGCTTCCCTCTAAAAAGGAGGGTTGAAGGCATACCATCATCTTCAAAGCTTCTACTATTGCTATCATATACTAACAATAATTGATTTGCACTCAAAAAACAGAAAATGAAGGTATAATTCATTTGTATTGATGCTTCTTACCAATTGCATGGCATAATACCACTATCTTTGATGACAAGGATCTCAATAGAGATCCTTGGTATTGTTTATCCCCACCATCATCTTGGTTTTCGACTTTAGTGATGTTTATGTTGTGTGGTGTCAAGAGAGTTTCCTTTGGTAGTGGAAGAATATTCTCTTCTTCATTTGTAAAGTCATCTTCCTTGATAATGCTATTATTCTCATTTTGGTTTGGTTCTTGCACAACTAGCTTTAAGAGGAATATCTTTATCACTAAAGGGTCATTGTCTATAGTTAAGGGATTTGTAACAACTACAATTACAAGGACCATAACATATATTTGTGATGAAGGAATTTAAAGAAAATAATGGCTTATGTTCCTAAACATCCTTCTCCTTAAACACTTGGGCTTGCTTTTAATAGTTTAACCAGTACTTGTCAATGAGATGCTCTATAATATTGTATAAATAAATTACTGTCGCTCAATTGCCATTGGCCTTGTTTACTATGGCTCCCTTTGAGGAGGCCAATAGCAAGATGTAAGTCCAATTTAACTCAGAGGGGGGGATTGGGAGAGATTGGGAATCCGTAGATGGATGGCCAACACTCCGTTGCTCGTGCAATAAGTAGCTGAAACCAAGTAGGACCAAGTAGAAGCTGGTACAATAGGTGGGAACCTTGGCAAGGGAATTTAGCAAAGGCTAAGGTGGTGTTAGTCGGATAGACAATGTAAACTAGCAAATTGGAAAAGAAAAATTTGTGGCTTACACAAGACTAAATAGAGCTAATGTCAAATTATGCAACCTTAGCATAAACTTGATTGCTATTGGACTACCTTAAACACTAAATAAACACTCTTATAATGGTCATGGATGAAGGTTGATTCTTGAAGCTTGGAGCAATAGTAAAATCACATCTTGAACCATATCAAGGTAGAAAGAAATGTTAAAGTATAAACCACCCTATATGAGACACTTTTGGAAGGACTCATCAAGTTCCATCACATTCACCACTAGCTTTCTTTTGAAATGTAAATGCAAGTTTTAGGGATTGCAATCCACTTGGTAATAGAGGTTATGGTGAATGGCCAAAGGACCAAGGGTGTCAACAATGAGATGCCACCAATGATTTTGGACTAGTTGCCATAACATCCATGACAACATGAATAAAGATTGTTGATTGTTATTAACATAGGTATGCATTGCTAACAACAAGTGGTGAATGAGTCTGATACAACAAAAAAGAAAATCAGTCCCAAGAAAAAAAAAACAAGTTATAACCTTTGGGAGTGGCTGTAAAATGCTAATGGGGAATTATGAGCCTAGTGGTGTGGTAGTATTGTTAACTCACTTTGCACAAAAAAACACATGGAAAAAAAGTGGGTACCAATAAAAAACTCACTAAG